ACACAATTTCAATACAGAACTTTCATTCTTCACATGTTTATCACACTAAAAGTGTTTTTCTGTATAAAAAGTTCAATATCTATAGGATACTGATTATATCCCACAGTGGATATTGATTATACCTGTATGTGGATATCGATTGCATCCCATAGCAGATATCAATTATATTATATCCCACAGCAGCTATTGATTATATCCCACTATAGATAACAATTATATCCTTAAGTGAATACTGATTATATTCCACAGATATGCAATTTAACATACAAATATGAATGCAAGACTTATTATCAAAAAATTGTAGTAAACTCAGTTTTGATATGTTAGTGAAGAACTATTTATTCACTTTCCTAAGATATGTATCACAGATTTCTTCAGGCAATAAGATACATTATACTTTGTTTTTCTCTTTTAATTGTTATTCAATAGCCAAACACAGTTTTGTTCAAAATGATGAAAGCAATTTGTGTACAAAGATGTATTTTGTTAGTTTAAAGTTAGTTAAATAATTTATAATTATTTACATACATGTGCAGATAAGAGGAATGTGAGCTACATTGTACTTTAAATGTGTTTCTGAAATATCAGCCTGTAACCTAAACTAACAATAGACTATTATGTAGAAACAGACCTTCCTTTCTGAAAATATCAAAGCTTGACAAAATTGCTCAAGTAGTTAGCCACTCGTGTTGTGTTATTCCAAAATCAGTGGAGTGATTGTGCTTTTTTACTTAGCCATTTTCTAAAGCTTTGATATATACCAGTAGAGATAAGAAGGTATGTCTCAATGTCTAGTTTTTGCTGTGAAATAAATATGTTTTGAGGTATTATAGATTATAGAGTAACTGACAAATAATTTTCCCCTATGTGGTGAGAACCTATCATGAATTTATAATTAAAACCCCCATTTTTGACTGAATTATGTTTTCATTTGAACTCTGAAAAAGAAACATGACATACATTTCCTAACAAATAAATAATGCAATTATACTATAATAAAAATGTGTACATAATGGCATGCATATGTGTTATTGATATATCAATATAAACTTGTAGACTTTATATATTACTACAAAAATAGAAATAGGTATAATTTGGCCAGGTGGCTATCAATTCAGACCATTTACTTGGCAATCATAGCAATTATCAGCAGACACCCTTTTTATCTCCATGAAGTTGAATTATTATTTTCCATTAAGAATTTAAGGCAGGCAGAGTAAAATGAATTATCTGGGGCTAGTTTCTGGAAAAATATTGCCATGCTTGAACTCCAAGTTGTGGTATTGCCAACATAAGGATAATTTCCTCGAGTAAATACACAATTTTCACTTTCACATAATTTTCATGATTTCTCTTGTTTACAAGTATATGCGGGTATATTCAAAATCATAAGTGGTTGCTGTGCCCATTTGTTTCATTATAATACCGGTATGGTTATTAAATTTTCAGGAGTCCATGTACACTATTTTTAAAAACAGGAATCAATGTGCAATATTTTTAGAAATAGAATCAATGTACAATATTTTTAGAAATATAATCAATGCACAATATTTTTAATGGCCCCCTGTGTATGTTCTGGTTTACTGATGTTATATACAATAAGTCTAAAAGCCATCCTACTCTACCCTCCTTAAAGAGAGATATAATTAATCATAAACTTGATCACATATGAAAGCAGAAGCAATACACGTGGTGATATTTGACTTGGAACAGTTAAAGGAATACTTCTTCCAACCGAATTACTATCTTTATATGGTTGATAAAACATTTTTTTTTTATACATAATTAAAATGTGAGAAAATATTTTGGTATGCTCAAAATTGACAATTAAAAAAAATTCAGTAGTCATTTCCAAGATGCTGCAATCTTTCAAAATTTCTAACAGGAAGTGATTTAACCGACTTTTAACCTTGCTTTTTAAAGCAAATAAGAGTAGCAAAATTCAACTACTGGAACTCGATCCTTCTCATTATATGTGGAATTTGAATAGACAATATTTCAATTAGACATTCTTTAAATGAAAAAGCCTGTGACATCACTTCCTGTTGACCTTTGAAGAAGGCAGCCCACTTGAAAAAACAATACATTTTTAATTGATCAAATTTGACCTAACCAATTTTCACACATATAGATAGCTTATAATTGGTTATGACAGCATTATCGTGAAAGCAACAGGTTAGTATCCCTTTAAAGGGTGATGACCATATGACTGTTACACATGCTCTTTGACAAAAAAGGACACAGCAACATCTAATAATATAGTCATCATCCTATGCAAATATAAACTGATACAAACACCTAATCTCTATATTAAGTCTTATTCTAACTCAAACAAGACATATTTGGAAGAGCTGACACACCGTTTTTTCTAATAATATGGAGAATCTTTTTTGTGACATCACAATCAACATGCAATGGACCTCAAGGCTAGAGTTTTTACAAAAAGGGAATGTTAGATAAACATTTGCAATTGAAAAGGTACCTTCAATAACATAGAAGGAATAATCCATCCCAGATATTCTAGTTTATATAATTTATAAGATTAATACTCCCTAATTCATATAGCACATTTAATATAATCTCTATCATGTAAATACAACAGGCCCTTGAACAAAACTGTATACCAGTATGTCCTTTATTGATGCACTGATTTCTGATCTTTTAGAAGAAAATCTATTTGATGTTTTGTGGGCTACAAACATTACTGTATATCATCAAACAATTTAACACCTAAAAGTTTACTTCAACTCTATTCTACTCCTCATTCTATTGACAGGTTATTTGATGTTGGAATTGTCTTTGGAGTATATCCCTTTCCAATCATTCAAAATGTCAATCGTCTAATAGGGATTTGGCCAGTATACATGAAATGATGAATAGATTATTTGATTAAACACTTAACAGGAGTTTTACCCACAACACAGTTGCTTATGGATATGATCTAGAAGGCCAGCTTCCAACCAAAATAGGATAATATCTAACGAGGCATTAACATGCAAAATGTCACCACCTGCCATTTGTTACAGATGCCAACTGCCAAATGTAAAAAAAACAATCACCGAATGCTATCCACAAAAGGTAAAGAAGACTATAACAATATGTCACCACTTCTGGTGGTGACATAATAGACCAAGCTTTAGTGTTTTCAAGTCAAGAGATTTGATCCTTTATTATATACATTGCCCAAAAAGGCAATTTGTAAAAAGTATAAAAAATATATTGGGTATTTTTATAAATAGTTAAAAATATAGATTGTTTATTATATTGCCATTTTAAGGCATGCATACATAATGCATTTTGTAAACCCTGTTTCAAAATACTATATTTTTGGTAATGCGTTTCTCATGTTGCTTTTGTGCTTGCCTTTAATTGCATAGTATAACTTACTGTGAATACAAAATATAACGAATCAAAAAAAGTATTGGCATATAATTATGTCACATCATACTCTGTACAAAGGCACGGAACACCTGAGAAGTTTAAGAATATTCGTATGATGAATATTAATAATACTGATATGGTTATTCAAGGACAGTTTTTGACAATACCAAATTATGATAGTACCTTTCACAAACCAGTTTTTTCAAACAAGAATAATAATTGAGGACTACCTAATTTGAAGTATCACAAACTAATCTTTCCACAGTTTTATATCAGGTTTGGATCTATCTATTATCATGTTCTTAAGAAGTTCTTCAACTTCTATAGAAACAATGAAATATATAAACTGATAAATGACTTATGGCATGGCCATTAGAGCCTTTACTAAAACATTTAGGTGACATCATGTTCCTTATGCTTACGGAAATATCTAACTATATTGTCTCAATCTCAAATGAATAGCATTTTTGGCAGTTTGGTGCATATTAAAACACACTCCATTTACTATATTTATAATATAACACAATGTTGAGAAATTCAAAGGTTGTTGCTTTATAATTTGCCAATTGATGTGTAAAAAGCAGTCAATTGATACAATGAAAGAACAACCTTGAAAACGTCAACCTATTTGGAGATGTGTACACACATTTTCTACTTCGAGTCTTAATCTTATCTAATTCAACCCTTGATCTGTTATGACATAATAAAAAGGAACTCATTTTAGAGAATAAACTTTAAGTGGAAACCCCATTTTCCAAACTACAAATTCATGCATGATTTATTCAATGGAAACATCAATAAATTCTGCAGGTATAGTAGTATATTGCTGAATGGCAAATGCAGCGGCATCAATGATGTTTCCATTGAAATGTGCTCTTCGCAAAAAAGTCCAATATTTTCACACATGTAAGTTTATAATATCAGTTTCTGTAAATTCAGACTATTCAATTATCAAAACATTTTCAATGAATTAAAATTCTTTTCATGGAATCTAAGATTTAGATGAAAACATGGACTTTTGAGCGATAGTATACAATACACAGCATATTATGTTTACATCATGTTATAAACAGTAAGGCCTGAAACAAAATATCTCGAGGTAGATGCGAGATGCCGCTACAACTGACTCCATTGTGATGTCACACTTCCCATGATGCATCAATCTAAAGAGCGTCTTTATTGCATTGCAGTTGCATTGGTCCTACACTCTGTAAAGGCAAAAATTCAAATTCCATCAAACTGTCTAAATAAGTTAAATTACATGTTACTAACATGAAGAGATATGAGTTGTGTTACCATTAACCCCAAAAAGCACTTAGAAAACAATGCCACATTTTAAGAGTTTCTACCAATGGCTTACCCTACCTCACACATTCTGTAGAGCCTGCAATCTCCTGATGCCATCTTACATAGCTAATTTTTTTATTTGACATAAATTACTGGTATCATATTTGCACTGGCAATGGCAACACAACCCTCTAGGATATAACTGTACCTATGCTAAACTAGTGACGTGAACTTCGGTATTCACGTTCACGATCCGAATGATGTCTTGATTCTTCATATCGCGATCGTTCGGATCGCTCTCTGTCTGAGTCACGTCTGTCTCTGTCATCCCTCTCTGAACGTCTACTACTTTCTCGGTAATCCCCGCGACTCTCCCTCTCTCTGCTTCGTGATCTATGTCTGGAGCGCTTTGATTCACTTCGTTCCCGATCTCTTGATCGCGACCTAGTCCTGCCTCGCTCGCGACTGGTTCCTCTGGCTACAGGCCTGGAATTTGAATGTTAGAACCAATTAAGAAAAGTAGACGAAAGCTGTTGAAAAACATGACTATCGTACCAACAAATTGGCATTCACATAATATGGGAGAATAAAACCATGCTAACATAAAAATAATAACATAGACAGCAGAATTTCCAAGAGCTGAATAATGAAGTGTTCAAATGTTGAAGGGTTCGATATATACATGTACAGGTTTTACTGTATAGGAAATTGAATTCTACAAAAAAATTTCCATTCATTGCTACATTCACATATATATTTCTTGTCCATTCACCTACAATAGATAATAACACTGAAATCCACTTACTTTTGTCCATAAGACTTTGACTCAATGCCATGTAGTGTATCTTGTAGAGAACTAACTAAGATCTTACACCTGTCATCATTGCTGATCTTGGACTGTTTGATGAGAGATATTGCAGTCACTAAAGTTTCTATTGCGCTAGCATATTCACCTTCAAACAGAAATAATCATTTTAAAAAAATGTACTTGTGTTATCTGGCTTTACATGTATACTAGGGTCATTGAATAGGTTCAGAAAAATGTCTTACTAAAGGAATATGTAACCGTAGGTAGGATGCATGAACCCTATTCGCTTACACTGCCAAAATTTGTCTACTAGGTTAAACACTTACAATGGTAACCAAGATGATGTTTGGTCTGTATCATTTTATAGAATTTTAGGGCCTTTCAAGTTTTCAAAGGCCATGGCTACAGACTTGAGTTAACATTTGTGGGCACAAACAGAACATATAACATACCAGCACTCGCGTCTTGAACAGCTCGTGATATAGCACTACTTGAAACAGTCTTGTTTCGCTGGAGGATCTCCTCAAATTCTTGTTCACTCATAGCAGGGGCAGGTGGCTCATGTCTACAAAAACAGATTTGCTGGTCTACTCAACAAAGTTTAAGATTAAAAGCAAGATGTGTGATGTGCATTTGCATCTGTAAAGATCTTCAAGTGAAACAGATTAATTGAGTTCTAGACTAGATTTCTTGTGCCACCCTCAGACACATCAATCAGCCATGACACAGCGACAGACAATTTCAGGTATGGTTATAAAAATAGAGATGACCGAGCTCAAATGAGCAAAGGACACAACAATTCTGATATCCTAACTATTCTTAAATATTTTGTATACATTCAACCTACCTCTCTGGGCGTCCATATGGATCACCCCCTGGTCCTGGACCAGGATAACCTACAGGGGCAGAAGGTCTCATGTAGGGGTCCACAGGCTGAAATAGCCAGGTACATATTAAATACATATGGAAGTCGTTTTTAAATAGGATGATTCAAAAGAATATTGTGAATGATGATGAGGCATGGAATTTAGTGTAACTTGTATAATGACAGACTTATTAATAGTTATTCAGAAATGAAGAAAATCAATTCAAGTTTGAAAAGTCCAAATAAATCAACACTTTTAGCCCAGTTGAGAAAAAATCCCAGGGAAATGAAATGGAAGATATAAGAATGAAAATGGAATATGTAAAATTGAAATGGAACATGTAATTGAAATGGAATATTTAAAATTGAAATGGAATATGTAAATGAAATGGAATACTGTAGATTGGGTTAATTTGGCGCCCGCTTTAATTTGGCGAATTTGGCGAAATTGAGAAATTCGCCAATATAAATCTTCGCCAAAATTTAGAATGAATCCCCGGGAATTATCTAGGGTATTTCGTCCAGTGTATTTAGGTCATTTCCGGTTTAGTTTTTTCCAAAAATATGAAAAAATGTCTCTCATAAACTGGCTCAGAACTGGTCCGTCACTCATTAATACTCAGGGAAAAACTAGAAAGGAAAAGCATGGTAAAGTAGCAGCATCGATCGAGGTGCAAAATGTAAAGGATGATCCCACAAAAATGTACAAACGTGGTGAATATCGCTAGTGGTCCTCAAAAGAACATAGCCAAACATGCCCATTTACATGGCAATTCGCAAACAGCGCGGCGCGTAAGTTAATTAAATTTTTTTTGCATATCCGCCAAATTAAATAGCCGCCAATATGCCAAAAATGGCAAAATCGCCAAATTAAGTAGCGCCAAATTAACCCAATCTACAGTATGTAAATGAAATGGAATATTTAAAATTAAAATGGAATATCGAAATGAAAAGGAAAATGAAAAATTGAAATGGAACATGTAAATGAAATGGAATGTTTAAAATTGAAATGGAACATGTAAATGAAATGGAATATTTAAAATGGAATATATAAGACTTACCCTGGCATTTGGGTCTGGACCTGGTACTGGAACAGGTCTTCCATACTGATCCACAGGCTGAAAAAGTAAGTGAGATTGACATGATTGGAAGACATTAGTAAATGGTGACTTATCCCTGGTTTGTTCACAATCGTTACAAAAGCACAACTTTGACAAACTTTTGGGGTTGTCGAGTTGGCCCAGAAGGCTTGAACGCCGGAACGTTCGAGCTAGGCGATTGGGCGCCGTAACCACGAGGTTGCGAGTTCGAGACGCGTGTGGTCCTTGTGTTTATTCATTTGAAATATCCACAAAATAGAAGCAACAAAATAGCTTCAATTCAGAACTCATTGGTGAGTTAATATTTTTTATCTTAGTTTGAGTAGAGAACTTTTATAGTGGGTCAACAGAAAAGAAGATGTACTTACTGCACCCTGGGGTGGTTGTGCCTGTGGGGGGAAGAATGCAGGGTTGACATGTGGCTGGGGGGCTGCTGCACCTGGGTGGCCTGGGGGAAGACCTGGTTGCATTGGGATACCTTAATATACACAGATACAGAAAATGAGATTAAGCAGACAAGTCTTGCAAGATATGCAAGATATCAAATACTTCGTAATTTATTCTGACTTAGGATAAAAAATATGTTAGTATTACTGGATTCTGGAATCTCAAACATCATTAAGGTACAATTTTTTTTTTACATATTTAAAGATAGAATCTTGTCTCTTACCTGGGGGTCCTTGTGCCTGTGGGGGTGGTCTCATCTGGGGTGGGGGTACTCCACCTGGTGGTCCCTGCTGAGGGGGTCCTCCTGGGTGACCAATAGGAGGACCTCCAGGGTGACCTGGGGGTGGACCACCAGGGTGTCCCGCTGGAGGCCCGCCGGGTGGACCCCCTGGATGTCCTACAGGAGGACCTTGCATTGGGGGACCCTGAACTGGGGGACCACCTGGCATAGGACCTGGACCACCTGGGTGTCCTGGGGGTGGACCACCTGGGTGACCTGGTGGAGGTCCACCTGGATGACCTGGGGGTGGGCCACCTGGACCACCAAATGCTGCAAGACAGAAATCAATGCATCAGACTACGTACAGGATATTTTGGGGATTTGTTGACACACTTCAAATCTGATTATGATCTACAAAAAATTTCTTAATTTATCGTCTAACCAATCACCAATACTAGAAAAATACCAGTGGCCAAATAAAATATTTTGACAAAAAACTGTCAATTTCTTAAAGATTGTTGCAGAACTAAATTAAAGCAGGTCCAACTTGTTCAAGTGTGCTTCATGCATGTAATTGGTGGTCCTTATATAAATCACCATTGAACACCAAACCTTTGAGAATGAATAACATTCCTTGCCTTTCAGATACAAATATATACAACAGTACAGCCTGTAGCCCTGTACAATATAACAACACAAAAAAGAGAATGTAAACACTTAAGTAATTCCATCCACCACATTGTCGATCTTTCTCAGAAACTTACCGCCAGGGGGAGGGGGTTCATTAAAAGGAACACCTATATAGGACAAGACTGATATGTTAACATGGGCACAGAAAAAACATTATCAAAAACATCTATAGAAAACAAGGATGTTAGTGCGACATTCACATTAGATACCCTGTGATAGACGAGTGTTGGGAATATGTATTAGAAAAATGTATTCACAAATATATATTTAGTGAAAAAATAAAAAAGTTTGTGATATTAAAGCATAGTGATCATTTGTATATGCTCCAAGAAATTGTGATGACAGAAGAAATAATTGATTCATACCTGGAGGTCTCTCCCATTCTGGGCGTGGTCCTCTGGGGTCATGACCTGGGGGAGGCCCTCTCATTCCCGGGGGTCCGTGTCCTGGTGGTCCTCTTGGAGGCTACAAAAAAATAAGACAAAAAATGATTTGTGTCTCATATGCAGAAGTCTTTACTGCAGACAATTAAATATAAAAATCCAGATATATCCAGGGAATGGGATACAAAGGAAACTATAAATTGATTCTGCACGTTTTAGCCAACTTACCATTCCATGGCCAGGGGGTCCCTGAGGTGGCCCCTGGGGTGGGCCTCTTGGGGGTCCTTGCTGAGGAGGCCCTCTTGGGGGTCCTAAAAAAAATTGTATTAAAGGAATCATATGACTTTTAATGAATACTATATTGTGATTTTTGTCATGAGTGAACACAGCTAAAGATTAAAGATATCAATATCCATGAATGGAGATAAATGATTTGTTTAAAACCATAGAATCATTCTTTTATACCATGGTAACATTACAATATTGTTAGTAAATTTCAATGAATAAGTGATACATATATGTGTGATAACAAAAGTATATGTACATTAAGTGATCATAATGTCAAATTATAATGAAAAAAATACAATACATGTTCAACCATTAATGATGCCACATTCACAAGAGGCTATCTTTTTAAAAATATCAACCCCTTACTTCACAATATTTTTAGACAAAGGCCCAGTCTATTACACAGATCCAGGAAAGTAGGCTAATTATTATGTATGTTTTAATAAAGAGTTTGCCTTAATGTATATTTCTAACAGCTATACAATAGACTGGTTTAATATGAATTGAGTAAATCTAAATAAGTATACCTCCAAACTGTGGAGGTGGTCCCCCTTGATGTGGTGGACCCTGATGTGGTGGTCCTAATGGCAAAAATAAAATGTGAATAATAACATATTTCAACAAACATACCACTTCCAGAAATAAGATTAATATCGTTCCCATGGTTAGTTTTTTGACACTGCACCACAATTGAACTTCTGTATTCTCTCACCGATTTGAAAAACCTTTTTCTAATACAGTACATGGCATTTCGTCATTTGAATTTTCTTGATAAATAGTAATCTCATCTTTAAGTTGTCCGCTATATTCTACACATAATCTATTTTGTTAACTGTTAGATCAGATACTTTACAAAGAGCAAATTTTGTTCAATTGAATCTTGATTTACATGCTTTTTTTTCAAATTTTAATGAAATTACTTCTTTCTCCCACCTTCATCCTCCTAAGCAGGTGTCCAGAATCCGTACCTCCTTCTTCCCCCCTGCTATAAGCAGTTAGCATTTCCCCGATTGAGAACTCGCAATTTGATTGGCTGTCGCAACACTGCGACAGCAATCATGTTTACGTCATCGGCGCATAATCAGATCACGTGATTCAGTTTAATCGGGCGCGTCCAACTTGGTTATAGCAGGGGGTAAAAAGAAAGAAGATATTCTGGATTTTGAAGCCCTGTGATCGGAGGATGCCCACCTTCGAAACAAAATAGATTAAAGAAACTAGAATGGATAGAGTTCAGATTAAGTTTAAAATGTTACAATTTTTTTTGCTTTTATCATTTCATTTTTACAAAATCTTCTACAAATGATCAGTTATAGCAATTTCAAATTGGCATAATTACCGAAGATTGTTTCAAAGTTCAAACATCTAATACTACCAATCCCATCTAATTTCTTTGAGTGTAGAATTAAGTGTAAGATACACTAAATGTATACAGTGTGTTATAAAAGCAATGAACACAATATCTACCTCCAAACTGTGGAGGAGGTCCCCCTTGGTGTGGTGGACCCTGATGTGGAGGTCCTTGCTGATGTGGACCTTGGGGGCGCTGGCCTCTGTGCTGGAAACCTCCATCACGGGGGATAAAGCCCCGACCACGACCTGCAGAATTACGGTTGTAGTGGGCTATAATTACATACACTAAGAGGTCAGTTAGGAGATAGATGGCGGTTTGTATGCACAACACGCCCAGGCACTCCAGCCCATAATTAAAGGGAGAAGTGGCATAAAGAGCAAATCCTTTTCACAGCCTTTCATCTAATCTTATTCTTACTTTTATCATCCATGACATAGGAATCACATTTGATATAAAGCTAAGCACATTTTGAGAATTTCGATTACGATGTACAAACTTGGCAAATTGTTCACTCCATGTACGACAGATTCTCCCTTTAATCACCATGAAAGAACTCCAGGGTGCTCACAAGGTTTTTTGAAAATTGAGGGCAATTTAGAAAAATTACTGAATGAAATCAAGCAGAATCCTGTATATTTTAACAAATTTGTCTATATTCACACACTTTTTGATAAACATTTTTTTCAATTTCAGAGTGGAATTGTCAAGAAGGCCAGTGAGCACCCTAAACTCTTAACCTGGAATAAACTGTCTAGTTTACAAAATAATTTAGATTAACTGCAGCCAATAAGTCTTTTGGGAAGCATGTCTTACCTCCATCGCCATTCTGTTGTGGTGGATTATCTTTTTTCGCAGCAGCCTCAAACTTAGCGAGAGCTCCTCTATTACAGTGTGTGACGACAGGGGGTTGACCATGTACCTGGACTTTTGGGAGACGGTCCATCAGGGTCCGAGAGGAGTTCTCTGAACCAACTGTCACAGTAGCAAACCTGAAAGAGACCAAAAATGTGACAGAATTGACGAATTTTGAACTGATTTGGAGATATCATTATTATAAGATTTTTGATATGCTTTTCCTTTGAGCACTCATAGACATTTTTACACTTCACATTGCAAGATGCAAGATCTATGGATAATTATTTTTGCAATGAAGGTACAAATATATCTCTAGAACCACAGCTTATAAACTTATTCAGTTGTAGGCCAATACTTACCCTTTGCTCTGTCCATTAGCCCTGTTCTCATAGAATTTGATATCTACAAGGTCTGTGATGCCTATATCTGTTATAGCATTTGTAAGGTCTTGATCTGTGGTCCACTGTAAGAAATTATCAAAAAAATATTAAAGAGAGAATCAGATATAGCGAGCAGCATAACAAAAAATTGTTTCAATTTTCGAATATTTCTGGCATATGTCATTCCTTTTCATGTCTATTTTCTAAAAATGCCCTTAGTGCACACTTTCTTTCAGGAAAACTAAAGATTTTTACAATAATGTATTACTTTTTTCTATTTGAATGGTTACCATTCTTATTATTTGGGAGAATTTAGACATTTTTCACATATTTTTGCACTTTGAATCCATTATAACTTCACCAATTTATAACATATCATGAATCTTTTGGGAGGTATTGTATTTGAGTTTGTAAGGAATAGATTGGAAGGTCAACTGTACATGTTGCTTGTAATTTTGTCTCCCCCACAGATCAGATTCTGCCTTTAATTTCATACAAGGTCAAATATTAACTGGATTTTTTTCTCTAATATAACACTCTTGATACCTAATATGGATTGTGTATGAAGTTAAGCTTATGTGTTACATACCCACGTGAGATTTCCTACATAGAGGGCAACTCTTTTTCCATGATAGTTGAAACCAGCTGGAGGGGGAGCAGATGTGGGAGGGGGTGATTTAACAGCAGCTGGAACATGGTGTGGCTGAAAAATATTTCAGTCATAAATCAGTGATTCTTAATATTAAATGTATAGTACAGACTGCATATGCAAGGGTTTCAATAGAATTTCTCACAACAGGCTAGATAAAATGAAAACAACGGGCAAATTAGTGGAAATCATAAATTAACATGGAAATCTTGAATGAAAAGTCTCTAAAAACAACAGGCGATTTTGTGAAAACAACCAGTGAAAATCGCCTGTCTCTTTTATAATCTCAACTAAGTACATATAGATACACTGTTAGAGATCACACTACAAAGTAATAGAGAGTTAATTATGTAAATAGCTGATTCTTACCTGCTGTTCTACTTGTACTTGCTGTGGCTGGGAACTAGCAGGGGTTGTAATAACATCATCATAGAGATCAACATTGTCATTGAACTGACCATCTGTATCCTGAAAATATGTAATTACAAAATACAGATCTCAGAATTGTATATTTTTCCAACATGTGAATCTATCTTTGTTGTTGGCCCAGAATATGTACTTCTAACCTGTTCCAGGTAAGGTCGAAACGAATATAAATTCACCTCAGCAGAGGTGATTATACCTCCACCTGTATCTAATGGTTGCCCCTGATGGTATTTATTCGCCGTAAAGAGACTGGTATTGGAAATAGGGCCATGTCATTCGACCAAAATTGGTCTGAACTGCAAACTTTTGCTTAAATACGGGTATTCAGAACTTTCATATCATGTTCCGAAGGGTTTCGGAACAAACATCGGAACCTTACCTACTATTGACTTTGAATCATTAATACCTAAGTCCAGTGTTTCCCCAGTAATATTTTCCTTCAAACTGTGTCAAATATACATGTGTATTCGTCGCATAAATATAATAAATAGCGATGAAATCAAGTTTTGTTTTGATTTAAGAGTATGACCTTCAGTTTTCACTGGAAGTAGGAATCGACGGGGCGGAATCACTCGCGAAAAAAATAAATAAATAAATTTAATTATGATCTTTACAACCTACACTTTTTATAACCAGAACAACGGCAACGCCAAAGCGTAGCGAATCCCATCGAACAGAAATGGCTGGGATTTTTACAAACGAATAGCAAATATCATAAAACAACACACCAGAAAGGCCACCATTTTCAAAATGGTTGCTCACTAGCCAAGTTGTCATCAGAAGAAATAATATGCTTTTAAGTAGCCACCTCTAAAATTTTTGAAAAATCGCACACGTACTTGTAAAATTACACACATAAAAATGGTGGCCATTTTTCAAAATGGCCGACTACTCCCCAAAGTTTTATTAGACAATGTGCCATGCTTAAAGTATTCACATATCAAATATGAACAAAATCGCTCGACTACTTTTTGAGTTATAGTAAAATACGTTAAAATGGCGGCCATTTTTCAAAATGGCCACCGTCTACCAAAAGTGTCATTAGAAATAGACAGTGTGCCATGCTTATAGTATTCACATACCAAATATGAACAAAATCACTCCACTACTTTTCGAGTTATAGTAAAATACGTTAAAATGGCGGCCATTTTTCAAAATTTTTTTCAAAATGGCCACCTTCTACCAAAAATGTCATAGGACAGTCTGCCATGCTTATAGTATTCACATACCAAATATGAACAAAATCGCTCCACTACTTTTCGAGTTATAGTAAAATATGTGAAAATGGCGGCCATTTTTCAATTTTTTTTTCAAAATGGCCACCTTCTACCAAAAGTGTCATAGGACAGTGTGCCATGCTTATAGTATTCACATACCAAATATGAACAAAATCGCTCCACTACTTTTCGAGTTATAGTAAAATACGTTAAAATGGCGGCCATTTTTCAAAATGGCCACCTTCTACCAAAAGTGTTTTTAGACAGTGTGCAATGCTTATAGTATTCACATACCAAATATGAACAAAATCGCTCCACTATTTTTTGAGTTATAGCAAAAATCGTAAAATGATGAGTAAAGGCCGCCATTTTTCAAGATGGCTGCCATGTGCTACTTTAATATCTACATTTGTAGCATTATTAATGTCCTTTATATTTTTTTACATTTAAAACATATTGCTAATACAGTTTCACATATTACACCTAAATTACTGTAAAATCGGCACTAAAATGGCCGCCATTTTGAAATGAGCGGCCATTTTGAAAATCGGCTTTCGAGCAGAACTTTTACCCCCATAGGGTATATGTGTACAGAATATGAACAAAATCGGGCCAACGGTATTTGAGTTATTGCCCGGACGGACGGACAGACGGACGGACGGACGTACGTACGGACGGACGTACGTACGGACGGACGTACGTACGGACGGACGTACGTACGGACGGACGGACGGACGGAGGCGTTCCCTATATCCCTCCGAACTTCGTTCGATGGGATAATTATTTAAGATAACTAGATTTATGGTACATCTGAGTAAATAATCGCCTATGACAGATGTGTACATTTCATATATATTTTCGTTTCCCATCTAGATTTATATGAAAGTGAAAATGGCCGGCAAACCAAATCGGGGAGATAAAAGGTCGATAGTTTTTAAGTTTACTTTGGAGTTTTACTTCCAATAGATCAAATCAAATGTAAAACGATGTTGCGAATTATCAGGTAGGTTTGTTTCTTTTGTTTTCGTTTGTGGTCCAAAAAGAGTTCCGAAAGTTCCCATTCCATGAGACAAAATTCCGAACTGATTCTGGCACAGCCCAAATGGGAAAATTCCTTGTTTGGTGCATTGTCAGTTGGTAGATGATTCTTCTTAAGCATTGAATTCTGTTCTATTCTGCTTGCAGGAGATCTATAGCGTGAGAGTTAAAGGCTCTATGGGGTTAATCCTGGTCAAGTCTCTCTAACGTAATCATAAATCACTGCGTTGCTACTTTTTCCCGAAAAGAAACCTGTATAACAGACCCAAAGGTATACCTTGCTGGGGTTTCAATAACAGTCGGCTACTGACGAAAACGCCGCTTCAAATACCAGTTATGCCGCTTCAAATTTTGAGAAAAAAATTAGAAAAAATGGCCGGCCCAAATGAGAGATTTTGCTGATACATGAGCCAAATCAATTGTTTGTAGTGGTCGGACTCGCCTGAAAATCTCCACTCGAGTGGGCCATGAAAAACCACAATTATATTCAAGATTTGACTCAGTTGAGTTACTTCCGGTTTCAATTTCCCAAGTAGCGGCAGAATTCATCAATTTGATCAAGTCTTTCAAGTGCCTCTATACTTTTTATTGTCTGTATATGTTGTATATTCCCAGAATGCATCAAAACGGAAATGAAACTTTTGCATAAAAATGACGAACGCAGAATAAAATCCAAGTATGTCTGTCTTCTGTATATTAGGTTCATTCCCGTATGTTATTTTTAACGAAGGACAGCCTATAACGACTGCTATACGCAAAAAGATGCATGAAATTAGAAGTTTCGAAACTGAAAGTTGAAAAATGGCGACTTTCGCGTGTTCTATGCGCATGCGCAAAAATGAAAGTACTTCATTTCCACGATTCAGAAGGATTCAAATTACTTTTCTGCGGTTGGTTCGGTTTTACTTAGATACCAAATGAAAGATTATTGCCAAGGAATGGAACACGTATTTCGAAAATGAGAGTTATTTGTTTTATCACTAAAGGAAAATATTTCCGCAATATAAGGTGCATCATGGGAAGGGACTGCTGTGAAATAATGAACGCAAGTGATATCTACCTAAAAATATATGTAGTTATTGCGCATGCATTCATATAATATATATATGTAGTTATTGTGCATGCGTTCATATAATATGAACTAATCAAATTGCTGGATTGAACGCACCTGCGCATAGAACACGGGAAAGTCGCCATGTTTCAACTTTCAGTTTTGAAACTTCTAATTTCATGCATCTTTTTGCGTATAGCAGTCATTATAGGCTGTCCTTCGTTAAAAATAACATACGGGAATGAACCTAAGGAAACAAAGAACTCTAGGAACTATCCATTTTTACAGTGGACGTGTCTTGGGGAAGAAATCGACTCTGGAGGTAATAATTTGGTTGCAAAAATTTTCGGTTCTTGCATAGTAATCACTTCTTTACATATTCTTCAGATTGCTCAGCAACTAGTGGATGGATTTCTAGGCCTACCATTTTTTCTATCCACTTATTTTTACTGGAAATATCTAACAATCATTTTCTACAAATTTCAGAAAGCATCAACATCGACCACCCTTATACTCTTAATAAGCAGTACACACTCATCGGAGGGCTTGCCCGACGCCTCGAGACAAGCCCCTGTGGAATTAATCTACCCAACAAAGAATACACACGTTTTTTGAAAACGAAAATTTCTTTTTTCCTATTTTGGATCACCATTTTCTAAGTCTTAGCACTGTGCTATCTACTCAAATTTTACAGCAATATTATCTAAGTGATAAGTTCATTAATTTCTTTTAATACATTTTAAGTAATATACTCACTGCAGTGAAATCTTCGCCAATATTGTCGGCATACAGGTCTATGTCTACGTCCACCATTATTTACCACATTTCTTGAGTTCGTCTTAGGGAAAGTAGGTCAAACTTCAACACGCTATTTCAGGCTAATTGCTTGCGTTTCGCAATATAAAGTGAGACTATTTACTTCTACGGTATATGATTGATTTTATCAATGGTACATAAGACAATTTGATACACGATAAATATGTCTAAACTGGTGAGAAAGTGAGGGATCTTCCGGACTAATATTATGAGGTATAATCCGGGCACCTGTCTCCGAGAAATGAAAACGAGGCATGAAAACAAAGCTGCAAATGTTTTGGTCGCAAATATGTGAAAACTTGACTTATATGTTCAATGAAGATCGAAATTCAAACCTATATTAGCCGCTAAAGTATGCTAGTGGTAAGTATCTACCCTTGTATCATAATTTCGTTCATTGCCATCGAAACATTTTCTCTGAATAACACGGACCAAAATTTGGCCATGTGCCCTGAATTTATCTGTTTTTGTGGGTCCAAAAGTCAAGTACTAAAGAGGTAAATTATACATCTTATCAACAGGGTCAAATCTCAATTCCTGTGTACATAATCTCAATAGATATTTGTGTACAGCAGAAAATGTTGCGCAGTAGTCTTGTAGGAGTAGATATACATGTATGAAAGTCGGATGGTTTTGAGGCTTCATGTATAATTTCTTTGAGCAGGTAATTAGATATAAGTATATTCTTGTTCAGTGTAATATTGACGTGTTAGAATTGTTATATTTCTGGATCTGTAACGGAACGTAAATAATACAACTGCATTTTCTGCATACAGAGTTGCAGTATACACATTGCTCGCAACATGAAAAGTACCATAATTATTAGTTTAATTGACGTTTCAACAAAATTGTCTTTAAATCTCAGACAGATGGAATTATGTGACATTATACTGTTCTTGAAAATTTTGTAATTCCTCATATCAAAACTGCTATGTACATGTACAATATACAACTCCCTTATATTTCAACAAAAGATCAAAATGAAAGAGTGGATATTCATTGAATCCATGTTCATGAAATACATTTTATTAACTATTCCAGAAAGTCTATTGTTTGGACTTGTTCTAACTGAAAAGTCATAAATATACAGTTTATCCAATAAATGTAATTTCTGAGCTCTATTTACAACTTTTAGCATGTAGATACAAGTAATTAGTACATCTCTATGTCGAACAGATAGTAAGTACTTCAGCTATTAGAACTGACAATATTCTTTCCTGTTATCTTTTTTTGCAATCTTTCAACATATTCATCACATTTAGTTTGTTTTACATGCATCATTATAAGCACATTTTATGTTAAATAGATGGATAGTGGGGTACATGTAGATGCTGTAGTACTGAACCTACCAGTTACCGCACCCAGTTAAAGATTGGAAAATGTTCTTGCATAAAGTCAAATATCTATCCAGAGAATATGGAAATCAATAAGAAGTAGGGTATAAGTTGAACCATGGGCATTCAACTAGATAGTTGAATGCCCATGGTTGAACAGTTGAAGACATTTGTCCGAGTTTAGGAAACATTACATGGAGATATGAAATTTCAAATTTAAGCGTCATTCATTTCATTGTCAATATACTGTTATTTGTATAGTAATGCAAAAAGAAAGTACAAATATACAGCTACTGTAATAAAATATTTATATTGATAAACAACTTGCGAAATGATTAAAGTGAAAAATGCAAATATTGGTACACACAGTGTAACAGTTTGACCTTCATATACCTTACAACATGACTTAACTGCATTTTACGATGAATAGCACTGTTTCTATTTATTTAAAGCGGAAATAATGTCAGGTATTCTAATCATCATAATATGTAGTTACAATACTACTGAATAAAATGCAATAAGTTGAAAATCTTGTTATGTGTTAGTTTTTGTATAATATTGAAAATAAAAATCATAAATTGACCCAGTGACCCAGTTGTCTGTTGGACGGGGCTCGCCATATTTCCCTCAGAGACCCGGATGTAGACCGGAAGTGTGACGTTTCTGCGACCTGAGCCGCCATCTTGAAAGCATTCACAACAAAGGAAAATGTCTATTTGTTGTGCGGTAAATTGTTCAAATATTTCCACTGATAGAGCTAGACTTGGGATAAGGACTTTAAAAGAAATGCCTGAACGACAGTACGACAGTCGGCTGGTGACGGTAGAATTAAAATCTGTCGACAGTTCAAACCAGCTGTCGTTGTCGTGGACCGAATCCCCGGGGAATAGAACACATTTAAAACAGTGTCACTTACTATAGTTTCTGAAAAGTTTCATGCACGGCTTTTAACAATTAAAGATTTCTGCTTATTATTGTCTTGTTTGTCGTCCTATATCTATCCTGGGGTTGTGTTTTTTCTCCCCAATACGGGAAAACATTTTGAATAAAGAATTTTCCAATTCCGCCATCGAACAAGTAGGGTAATCTGCAGCAGTTTCGTTTTTGCTTCAACTCTTCAAAAGCTCTTCAAAATAGATTGGTGAATAAAAATGAATAACAACTGAAGTTAGAGTGGTTTATTTAGTTCGATGTCAGGATATTTCAAGTGAGTATTGATTATATAGACGCTACAGAGATGATGGTTCTAGACACGCGGGGCAAGTTGTTTTAGCTGATTTTCTCCTCAAACGGCCTAGATTGAACACAATTTTACTTCCGGGTTTACCCACGACAGTTTGCTATCGGCAACAGAAATAACACTGTCGTTATCGACAATGGAATCTCACTGTCGTTCGGGCAGTTGCCATACCATACATATTCTCTCACAAGAAACCAAAGAGAACTGAACCAGGCCATGTGCCGGTTAGGTCGACGCCATTTTGAAAAAACTTTTTGAATTGTATCGTATCGTATCGTATGTCTTTAATAGCTTTATAACTTAATACCATATTTGTGAAATAAATATAACATACTAGGTCTACGAGCCTTTAAATTGTTTGTTGTCTACTGTAAATACAACAGAAATACACCTCCATGGTGATCGAAATGACGAACCTTGCGTCATCGATGGCGATCATTCATGACGGGGAATACCTTATCAGTTCTGCCTTATATTTATAACAGAGTGTCAAAAATCCAATTAATATCTGCCATTCGTCATTTTATTAAATAAAAGATCCGAATATGTTTAATCTTCAAGCAAAACGATCGAGAGATAATTGATTGTCAACATAAAATTAACGCATTTTCCTGTCATGTCGGTAACCAACGTTCACGAGTTGGTCAGTTTTTGGTTTTGATTGGCACTTTGGGAGTTAATTCTATGAATTGTAAGTATTGATGTGAACATGGTCATGTTTTTCTCGAACAGGTGATATCATATTATAGTATGTCAATATGCCAAATACATCGTCAAAATCTTCAAATTGCTTCATTTTCTTGTTAAGAAGTTCGTAATATTTTTCAATGTGGCCGCCCCGCTACAATTGCGCATGCGCATTTTTCGGGCCAATCAAAATGCTGGAATTTGTCGAGTCGCAGTGACGCCGCTCATGAATATTCATAGGTAGGTTATGGCGACCTCCATAATCCAGGTGAAGATCCAATACCTCAAAATTAATTCCAATATATCTGCCGATGCATTAGAAGATCGTCGCTCATACCCGGGTCATGTTTTTGATTATAGACTTATTATTCTGATGAATCATAGTTTTTACTTGAGGTTATTATCCCTTTAAGACTTAAAGGTTGTTTGAGAGTCTCTCCACCTTCTAGAAAGTACAGGAGAAATCTGTACTAAATTGAATTAAAATGATTCTCATGCAAAGTTATATTCTATTAAATTCCAACTCTGAAGGAGCCCCATATTTAATATTTTTGAGACTGTCAAAATATATTTGTTCGAAAGGTGTAATAAACAGACTTTAAATTGGAAATTCTGTTAATAAAGGAACATCTGTTAAGAAATAACACAATTTAAAGGTTTTATATACCTTAAACTTTAACCTCTTTTCGAAAGTCACCATATCTTGTACTGTTTTCTTTCTAAGGAGCTGTAGGGCTTAAACAGAACCATGAGATACTAAAGGCAATTTGATTTGATCTTTTCCTTAACTACGACATGTAATAGTTGTTATCACATTGACATTAAACTTGATATTACAGTAGTAATAGGCAGCTAGTACTATAGGCTAATAACTTTGATAAGAGCCACAGTCAAGCCAAGGTACAGTTATTATTGCTTAGATACAATGTCACGTTGCACTACAGAAAATAGAGGTCATCTTCAATTCATTTATCAAATATCATCAGTGAGATTATCATTATACTAGTATATATTAGGAAACTGGATATGTACAGTAAGTAAACAAGTGAATGTATTGTTTGAAGGAGAAGGAAGAAGACGTTTGAAATGTCGTTTCATGTTAATTTTTAGGAAGTCAGTGTTTATAAACATCTGTATGTGCATATGATTAAGATATTAAGTTGTTCTAGGAGTATATTACAAGAAAATTCATGGCAACAAAACTTCTTCAATCCACCGTTATAAATGTTGTAGTAATATTAATTAACAAAGGAATTCTTCAGTTTGCAATCTCTTATAGAATTGTATACTGTTATTCACACATTTGAAATGGTTTGATCCATACCTAAAACACATAAAATAGAACATCGTGGACATGTATAGTAGTGAAATGATGATAATTGTAAAAGTACAGTGTATTGTACATGATGTATTTCAACAGTCCAACTTTTACAGCTTGTTTATTAAAGAAAATGGTTATGGTGACCTTTTATACAAAGACAAACCTAGTAAGCACAAAGGGCATTACAAAATGACCCACACCCTTATAAACTACATACATAGAACACTTATTCAAACCATTGCCTTTAACATACTAAAAATAATATTGCAGTTGATATTATCAAACTGCAGTTGTTCGATTTATATTGAATTGAATATTGGTTCGTAAATGAGTAGCCAGCTACATCATCAGTGTCAAGATTTAGGGACAAAAATGTGTGCCATTTTAAAGTAAAGCTTTTTTCTTTACAATGACGAGTTGAGAAATGTGAAAACACCCCACTTACCGAACAGTCTTTTCACCCACTTCTTGGACTTAGATTATTTCAGGATGCAAAGTTGTGAACTTTTAATTCGGGTATTTTCAAAAAGCTTTACATTGACTATATTCCTTTACATTCTTGGACTTATGTTATTTTATGATGCAATATACATAAGGGTTATGTACTGGGAGGTTTTGGATATGGGGTTTATTCAGAGGGAGATATACATATCTACCTGAGGGACCATTGGGACCGAAGGTAGATGTGCATGTCTCACAAGGGATGAACCCAATATCCAAACCGACCGTATATAACTGCTTTGTCCTATACCAAGTAGAGTTTTCTAATTTTCTTTCAATTTTTTTTCAATTTTTTCTTATTTTTAAAATTTTTTCACATTTTTCAATTTTTTCAATTTTTTTCTTTTTTTCAATTTTTTCACATTTTTTCTTGTTTTCAATTTTTCTTATTTTTTCAAATATTTTTTCGAAGCGGGGAGATATGGAGGTTCAGGATATGGAACCTCAAAATCAGGATACGGGATATAGATTACCAACTTATCTCCCTAAAACTCTACTTGGCATAGGATAAATAAGGGTTATATACTGGGAGGTTTTGGATATGGGGTTTATCCAGAGGAAGATATGCATATCTACCTGAGGGACCGTAAGGACCGAAGGTAGATGTGCATTTCTCACGAGGGATGAACCCAACATCCAAACCGACCGTACATTACTGGTTTATCCTATACCAAGTAGAGTTTTAAGGGGCATATGGCCATTTCAATAGTACAAGGTGTAAAAATAAACAAATCATTCATATGCAAAGTCATTTTATTGCATTACCAGAAGCGGGAAGATATGCACCGGAAGCGGGAAGATATGCACCGAAGCGGGAGATATGGAGGTTCTGGATATGGAAACCTCAAAATTAGGATACGGGATATATATTACCAACTTATCTCCCTAAAACTCTATTTGGCATAGGATAAAGCTACATACATGTATCAAGGATAACTGTATAACCAGGAACTTTCCTCAGTTCTATATTTTTGCCTCAAGTCATCCTGCTTCTCATACATTTCTCTCATTGAAAGACAATATTGATGCTCACAATAATTTTCACTTAGATTCCCAGTACAGCACACATTTTTGTGTAATCTACATACTTATTTGAATAATGTACAAACCGCTTGATCAAGAATGATCAAAGTTGTCACCATTTGAATTCCACAGACTCGGTTCTTCTGAAATTTAGTAGAGATATTCCCCAAACACTACAGTTTGATTTGTTGGTATTATTGTTATTAGGGGTAAACCAAATTTGACATTATCCAGGTAAACTTTAGAGAGAAATAGAACTCAACTTGTTTAGCGTATCAGTTCATGAAATCTCAGTAATTTTGAATTGTTTATTATTTATAGCAAGGAAAACGTAGACGTGTAGAGATGTTTTGCCGGGAAGATTTGGTAGGATGGATGGTATTCAATGGTCTCCCTCCACCAGATATTTACAGACAAAGAGAGTACTGGGTTAGCGCCCTTACTGCTTTACAGAAGGAGTCAACAGAGGAAAATATTATCCAATTAAAAGTTTTCTGGGAGCAAAATCGGAAAGGAGTAAAGGATTTGTTCCTCGAGGAAGTGGAATCCATGTTATTCCCACAGGTTAGTTAAGTCTGAAATTATTCTAAATTGTTTACCACTAACTCATTTTATAGAAATATTTTTGGCTAATACATTGAGCCTTTTTGGGATTGACTTGGTGTCCGTCTAACTGTTGGTCTGGCCATCAGTTCATCCATCCATTCGTCAACATTAGTGGTACAGATAGCTATAAGATCATTTCTATATCCACTTGATGTCGATGCATTGTATCATTAACTATATTTCCCAAGTCCTCTAAGTGTCCCAAGAAATATGTAATTTTGATATAAGTCAAATTTTTAATGTATCAGTCACCCTGCATTGTACAACTATCAAATAAGTAGTTGCTGTTATTGCTATCGTAATAAAATGTCCTCTAAAAATTTCAAAGCTCTGCCCCTTACTGTCTCAAGCAGGCAGTGTGGGGCAAATTTGGGGCCTAGGTTCAAGTTAATTTTCTGAACTAACCATTCTACTTTTCAGGATGAAACAATGTTCACCCCACCAGAGTCTCCATCCCCAATCCCACTATCGCCACGACTTGAAGGTCGACGTCGCTCCTTATCCAGCGGTAGCCATGGCAGCCGAGCACATCCTTATTTGGTACTTCACGATGGGCATATAAAAGACAATGCACGCTATAATCATGGATATCGTTATGGAGGAGAAACCTCTCCCTCCCGGTACTATCCTCCTCCCCCTAGAGATCCAGAAGCAGTTACCATGGCAACCAGCCAACCAAACAGCAGTTACGTTGCATCTCGGGCTCCTAGTGTATCATCACAATCGAATGCATTTTTATTGGCTCAGCTGTCACGTCCTGTGCAACTGTCTATGCCTCAGCCAGACAAGTCCTTGTCCCAAACCCTCATGTCTTCACCCACAACATCTCTCACAACTACCACATCCCAGTCCAATGAGGGCCAGTCCTCGTCGGATGAGATTGATGAAATGGGGCACCATATTCATTCGAATGCACATACAAATTCCCATTCAAACTCCCATTCAAATAGCAATGCTAAAGTCAAGGTGGAAAGTGTACATGAAAACAGAACCAATCTTCCTGGTGTCGCTACTTTATTCAGCACATCCGAACAAGAGAGTTCTTTTCACGCAAGTCAGACCATGAGAAGATTGTCGGAATCTGTAGCGGAAACTTTGCTTAGTATGAGTGCAGGAGCTCAGCCAATTAAAGAGGAGAACCAAAAATCTTCTTCAGAGAATAGCTACCATAGTATGGAAATAACCGATGATTCATCAAACCCCAGACAAGAGCGTCACGAATCAACCCCTGATCCCCCGCCTGAACAAGCTGTACCTGAAGTAGCCAATCACACAACAGTTGATAGTGAGAAGCAGAAAGTCAGCCAAGCTCACAGATTAGCAATCATTGATGGGGCCCTGAATGCATTGAATTCCGTGCCATCTTTACAAAGTAGGTTTTTTATTCATAAACAAAAAAGATGTAATCAGTATAATTTTTAAGTAATAAGAAAAGGGCTCTTGTTTTGTGAAAATTATTCTGTATTGATTGAACCACTCGTTTTGAATTAGATACTGTGTACAAAACCTGGCATTTCAATACTGGGAAGTCACTTGAAATATGAAAAAGAAAATATTTGATGATGATATTTTCTCCAGATTCAACCAGATTAACTGAAGCAGTAAATAGAATCTTACACCATGACCGCTGGCAGATTCTAGGCGCATTAAAGGGAGCACCAATATTGACGCGAGAACTGGCAAGGGAAATGTTTGGAGTTGAGACACTAAAAGAATCGACAATCACAGGACGGCAATATAAGCCACTGGATAAGAATGTCCTAATGCTTATAAGAGGTGAGTTTAATTGTGGGGTGAAAGTAATGATCTGTATGACTGTCAGTAGGTGCCGTCATGAATCTAGCTTAAAGAGAAAATCAGATCTAGCGAGCAGCCTAACAAAAAATTGTTTCAATTTTAGAATAATCCTGGCTTATGTCATTCATTTTCATGTCTATTTTCTAAAAATCACCTTAGTGCTCACTTTATTTCAGGAAAACTAAAGATTTTTACGATATTATATTATCTTTCTATAAGAATGGTTACCATTCTTATTATTTGGGAGAATTTAAACATTTTTCGCCCATTTTTGCACTTTTAATCCATTATAACTTCACCAATTTATAACATATCATGAATCTTTTGGGAGATATTGTATTTGAGATTGTAAGGAATAGATTGGGAGGTCAGTTGTACATGTTGCTTGTAATTTTGTCACCCCCATAGATCTGATTCTGCGAGAGACTAGAATTTATACTTTAGTGATCATCTAAAATTTGCAAAATTTTCCTTTTAATTGGGAGGTTATAAAATACTGTAACTGGGATTGTTTTAATTTGACTTTATTATTTATTTTTAATTCTATTGACAGAGTTTTAATTTCTTGCTGGATTTGTAATGCATACTACATCCAGTAATATAATCAGTTAATTCTTTTTTAAAGAACTGGTTACAGAATGTAGTCGAATCCTGAATGCTATTTTTTTAAATACCATGAAAATCTCACAATTTAAAGTATGGTACACTGGCACCATTTACTATAGCTCTTACTCCTAGCATTATTGGATGGAAGTGAAGGTTTACCGACCAATGATATACTACTTTGCATGGAGCAGGTTATTTTCTGAGATCATGGGCTTTACAAAACATTTGAGTTGAAAAATAAATTGTGAGATTTCTTCTTTGCATTGTAGAATTTTGAAAGTTTATAAAGAAATTTTTCAAGAAAATGTCATAAATCATTTTGATTAAATGTGACATGATTTTGAATCAGTAAGGCAACAATTATTTCTATAAAACATGATTTGAAAAAAATCAAGAACCTTTCATGAGAGAATCAACCATTTGGATTTATAACATTGACAAAAAGTGTTATATTGGATGTTTGTTTGAAAGGGCCATATCCATATTTATTCCATGATAACATCTTTTTCCCTATTAAATAAACAGGGAATAGAATTGATATTCAAAAAATCCAATATTGGATCCCATATCAGTCAAAATCCTGTTTCAGATCAGAGCTATTCCAGGGGATTTCTCTTGATTTTTCATTTTTCGTTCTATTTTAAAACATGTTAATAAAAGTCGAAAATGCATGAAAATGCAAAAGTCATCATCATGCCAGCATCATTGGGTGATGACAAATCATCCTTGAAAATGAATAACTTTCAGAAAAAAGATTATGTAATAAATAGGTTATTGATGGTCGTGATGGGATATAAATTTTTTCCTCGAGTAGATATGACATTGGCCTCGTAATATATCATATTGACACTCTGGCTGTCACCCTCGGTCAATATGATATTTTTCTTGGTCACTATCATATTTTCCCTTGGAATAAGGTTCATATTCCATCTCTCACATTAAAAAACCTCTATGTATTGCAAATATGTGTGGTTTCAACTGTTAGTCTAAGAGATAAATGACCTTGTTATTATATGAGTAGCTCTTTAATGAGTGTGGTAGAATTTGGTCACAATTCAAATGATTCAATTAAACTTTATATGCGGATGTATGTACTGTAGTCAATGTTTTGTGAATACAAAATGTATGTACATTGAAATGTGTGAAGTGGGACACCTCTAGAAGTGGAACACCTCTGTTAGTGGAACACTTTTTAGAGTCCAAAGACCAAAGAAGTACCAAAGGTGTTCCACTTGACAGATTTTACTGTACAAGACACCTTTCCATCTATTTATCAATAAACTTGATTTTTAAATTCCAGGCTATGTTATGTCTATTTATGGTGTGTTTATGCACGAGGATGACTTTGCTGTTCTTTGGGAAAAATGTGTTGAAAGTGTTCGTCAACTCTGTAAGGCTCTAAGGGGAACGAGCAAAGAAAACACTCCTAATAAGGAAAAGGATCTACCGTTGACAGATCGTGAAATAGCAATTGTGGAAAGAGATCTAGCGATGTCTGAACGGGATATTCCACTGTCAGAATCGCCACCCCCTCCACCCCCAATGGATTGGCACATCACTAAACATGAACCTTCACCACCAGAGACACCTATTGAGCAAACCAGTCAGTAAGGGAAAATGATTGACACTTATATGTTCTAATGTTTTATCAGAACTATGAATTACTTGTCTCTAGCATTGAACATTTCTTTGAGTAAATTATCTAGAAATTTGGGAATTACCTTCACCTTCAGTGGGTTTATACAGTAGATGCATGGATGACAGATTAGAACGTTTCAAATCATGGATTGAATTTCCCGTAGCTGATTTATGTTTTCTTTATCACATTTAACCATTTTCTGTACTAAATGGCTTCCAAGGCAACCACCAGGTGGATTGTACATGTATGTAGCACAGTGTTCTTGTCAAATTAAACAATGTTATAGGCTATTTTGTCAAACTGCAAATCTCTTAATTTTCCTTACCCCAGTGTTGTTTCAACCTTTGTGACTACTACCCAAAAATGGAGAAAATATTGAAATAGCCTACAATGTCATTGTATCATTGTATTATTCTATGTATTTGTATGAAATCTTGTTCTACTCTTGTAATTTGCATATATGTTCAAAGACTTTGGCAAAACTCAACTAATACATTTATCTTGTATTTTATAGACTGAGTTTGTGGATTCAATGTAAAAATCATGAAAATCAGTGTTTATTTTGGAAATACATGCATAGCTTTATCATTTGTATAATCTCCCAAAATTGTAAACAGAAAGAGATCTGGGTCTTCATAACAACAATATACAAAATGGTTTATAAAAGTGTAAATATATTGTACATAGTAGACATATATAGAAAATTCAATTCTATTGTATATATTGTAAATACACATATACACAGTATATATAATCAAAGTAAATATAACAATTGTGATTGTAGGAGATATAACAATTGTAAGATTTTCAGATTTATAATATAGGTTAGAAGAAAATTTGATGTACGCTAATGTTGAATCATAGATTTTTGATTCGCATACAGATAACTTTATTTTGTTTTTAATAATATCGTGAATTTGCAGTTTGGAACAAGATTCATTAAAATTTAATGAAACTATATCAGTTAATATTAAGATTAATCTGAAGGCAAGATTGCCCAGTTAAATATTACGTGAATTGTATCTTTAGTGTATAGAATACAGGATGTCCATTTATTATTTAGATGTGCATGTTCTACATCATGAATCATACTTGTGTGACACCTTGTACACATGTGTTTAAATTCCAAACACGAATGTACAATAACTGCACCAATGTTATGAAATTCAACTGCCTCTTGTCTTGGAAAATTGCAGAATTTGCCAAAAGAAGATTGTACACCAAAATATGTTTATTCTTGATATTCTGTACATGTACTATGAAGAGTTTGAAGCAATGGTGATGTTACAGTCATTGTTAGGAATTGATCATGCTGTAAGAAATATAGGAAAAATTCATATTCTGTCACAAGCCATGTTTAAAATGTTTTTCTGGCATTTTTTTTTTAAGTAGACATTCCTCTTTAAAATCCAGATTTTAAGAATTTTGAAACAATTCTCTTTATTAGAATACATCAATCTACTGAGCTGAACTCACTGTGTCTGTGTCTCTGCAACAAGATGACCTGCCTTAGAGTCATTTTATTGCAAAATGAGACACATTTCGAGTCATTTTTTGCAAAATGAGACACATAAATGTCATATGTTAAGAGAAGTTTTGATGGTTTGCCACTGACATTATTTCTTGATGCATCTCTGTTTCACTTAAAATCACATTTCAACATGGCCATTGTGTGTGGTACTATAATCAAGGGCAGTAAGTATTTTACTGTGTAGAAAACCGCTTGTAACTGCTAGAATTTTGTAAAAACCGGTGATTTTGGAGTAAGAAAAATTAAACCTTTATTGTAAAAACTATAGAGTTTATTTTTTGAATTTTAGTTAACAATATATGTGTAGTGTCTTCTCTGAGCACAGAGTTCCAAGATTGAGAGTATCATTCAGAAATGGATCGAACATGTCAATGAATTCTTGACAGGGTGTGATATAATTGTTGGCCTGATTCCCGGAGTCTGACCCTGCTGATTTAACAAGTATGGTATAACTTATGGTAACTGGTCTATTATTCAATTTTGAGTTTGACCACTACATCTGGAATTTATATGACACACCATATGGAGCTCTGTGGTTGGAGAATGACAAAGTAAAATAGTGTAAGCCAACAGTATGATAGAGAACAGAATAGAACAAGTTTGTTATTGTTAGAATAATATTTCACGATACAATTGTATTCATATTATTCATATTATGTAATGGTATTTTTTAAAAGCTGTTTAGTTATCACTTGTCAATGTTGCATGATTTCCTTTATCATTTTTCACAATGTTTTCTTTGAAAGGTACACTACATATGCCCTACCCTCTCTGTAAAATACAATTGTAATACATGTATAAATACAGTGATAACTGTTACAAGTTATCAAGACTGACCGATAGTTCTAATGCCACCAACACAAGTGGTGACAATATTGCTATAGTCTCCAACTTTTTTGTGGACAGTGTTCGGTGGTAGGTGTTTGGCATTTGGTGTTTGGCATTCAGTGTCCGGTGGTTGGTCTATGATGTCCGCAACAAATGACAAGTGGTGACATTTTGCATGTTAATGCCTTGTTACATTTGTGGTGTTCAGTTAGAGTTGTGTTCACATACACAGGTTTAACTGTACGATTTTGTATGATTTACTATGTGAAAACCAGTAAGATCTTCCCTCAAGTCTCACATAGCATCCAAAGCATGCACAACAGAAAAATGATCACCATAATATTCATGAGATCATTGGAGAGAGCCATTCACTAACACATGTTTTGCTGTAAATTGGTTTGAATTCAATCCTCCAATGAGAAAAAGTTAGATCTCTCATCATGCTATAGAATAATTTGGAATCAGCTCTGTTGTGATTGAGATAATAATATGATTTCACATTTAGCATCCTCCAAGTGTTAAAAGTTCCAAAATCCAAGGATTTTGTACAGGAGCTATGGAGGATGGGTATCATCAACAGTAGCAGTTTGAGTTGTGTTATTGTAAACAGAGTGGATGTCAAGGAATAAGCAAAAAGTACTGCAAAAGATAATATGATTACTGTTTATTATAATTATTATAATTGTTTACTCGTACCATAGAGAAATGTTATCAAATAAAGTAGTTCCATTTAAGTAGAAGGGCTTAATTTGTTTAAAGTAAATGTATATTATTCTTTTAGTCTGTCTATGTTATCTTATGAACATAAGAATGTGAAATATATATGAAATCTATTAGAAATAATGAGGATTGTATTTGTTCACTTTTTGTGCTCAATAAAAAAAGACAACTTGGGAAATAGCGAATTATGGTCTCTTGGTATGATACATGATCCATCTTTCTCCATGTAGATTCAATTTTATATAAGTTCATTTTGAACTAAATCAACATAACAATAAATATTTTTGCATAAAAAGATAATATTATGATTTTATTACAAAAAGAAAATACTGTAAAATCAACACTAACAATTGCCATTTTGAAAACAGTGGCCATTTTGAAAATAGTCTTTTGAGCAGAACTCTAACTCAAATAAGGCCATTTTACCATTCATGCTGGTAACTCAAAATATTATTGCAGTTTAGTTGTTTACATAATCCATACTGTGTATGCTGTATAGATTATGTATTGATAGTGTTTGTAGTCCGTGCAAATTGGCATATCATCCATTTTTATAGCCATAAATCTTGTGCATTTCCCTCCCAGGCCCAAATGATATGTAGGGCCTTAATTAGTGGGTCTTTTTGGGCATTACTTGGCCTTTTAGCCCAAATTATTAAAAAATGGTCCGTACACATTTTCGCCCAATTTTTCGATTTAGGAGCGCAGAAAAAATTGCAAGTGTGGACATTTTTTTCCTGATTTGAAATTGAAATGTTGGCCCCCCTTGTTAGGTTCTGGATCCACCAGTGTTGACCATGAGTATTATTTCACTATAGTTTCAACAATAAGACCCTACCTCAACATTTTTCTAAATATCTGACTTATTTTTCAATTTTTATTGAATTTTATTTTTAGAGAGCTAGAGAGCTAAAAGTTCTCCAAATGCAGAATGGCATTGAAAGCATAATTTGGAAGGTATCAAAGTTTGGTGATCAAATTAGCCCAAAAACAATGGACCGCATGAGTTCCATACAGTAGTTGAAAATAATGTATTTTTCAACGTTATCACATCTCAATGCCCTTCCCCTTTCAGAAATTACAGACATAGTGCAGAAGAAACTTTTCATATGGTTAAATGAAAAATGGAAGATAGTTTTTGAGAAACTAAGTCTGGATTTTGACAAATATGTGTGGTCAAGAGAATATAGGTCCATGGGTCAATGGGTTTTAGAGCAGATGGATTGATGCCATTGAATTTATTACTGGCGGATCTGGGGAAGGGAGGCCTCAAATTTTCAAAATTTGGGCCCACTTTTTGGTTTTAGGGGCCCAAAGATTTTCCAAGCAAGCGCTGAAGTTTTTTTCTCAGACATGAAATTTGAGCTTTCTGCTTGTTGATTCCCATATCCGGCCCTGTTTATGGTCAGAAAATGTTAAATCAAATACACCCAGGGGCGTCTGAAGAGGGGTGGGCGACCCAAACTAAAATTTTATGTATGTTCTCAGCCCTGGGTTCTCAGTAAGGTTGAGGTTTTAGGTCACAGTGACCACTATCAATCTTCATTATTCAATATTATATTAGATATTCGATAGATGGTGCTGGCTGTGTTTTAGGTTTGTAATTTGATTGAAAATTGAATTTGCCGCTGACGTTCGGTATTTTAGTGCATTTTGATCTGACCCGGAAATGGTAATGAATGTTTACAAAAGTCATATGATTTTGAGATTTCTGTACTCGGTCATGTACATATATTAATGATAATTTATTTAACCTGTAGGCATCGTTGGAATGAACATGGGCACACTTTTTAGGGGTTCTATCGGACTTATACTCTGTGTTTCTCTTTCTGTTGCACAAGAAGAGTTTCAGAAAAGAAACATTTTTCCACCAAATCAATTTCAATATGAAATTTCTGAAGATGCAAAGACATTAGTTTCTCAGCAAATATCCAACGATGATTTAGAGAACTTACGAGCTGGTCTTGGACGATACACAAATGTGTCAAAGACGTGTCTTGATCATACCATGATGATTTTGGATGGTGTCAGGGCTGGAGAGTTTTGGGCCTTAGAAAGTAAGTAGAACTGTAGTTATCCAAGAATATACTGTAGTCCAGAGAACATCTCAATCTTTTGCCTGTACGATTACAACATGGGAGAAAAATCCACGCCTCCTACAATAAAATACCTTAAGTATAGAAAGCGTGGATCATTCTCCCATATTGAAATCATGCAAGCAAATGATGGTGGCCTTCCCAAGACTATAGTCCTGTTACGGGATAAGTATATAGTGTATAGCCAACATATATACATTGAGATTCATCATTGTATTCTGTTACACAAGAATTGTAAAAAGAATGTAAACATAAGTGATAAAAGTAGATACAGAGTGTTTATTCGTTGACTTCTTATCGCTGAACTGCAAATGAACAGAAGCCTGGTGTAATCATGCTAAAGTCATATCCTTATATCTGAATGGTCGAGAAACAATCATTTATTGATCATGTCACATGCTAAGACAGGATTTGAGATACATGTATGATATTTGGATTAAAGGCTCAACAATTACTGCAGGGGGGCATTCAACGATCATCGACCAATGTCAAAATATATTTAAGTTTGGATATTTCATCATGACTAACATATATTTTTATTATCTACATGTACAAAGAAACCCCCTGGATGAACATTATTTCAGCTGATATTCCTCTTGAAATGTGGTTGATCTTAAAAACTATAAGTGGGACTCCCTTTATAGAAGATTTGAACTGAATTTACTATTCTTAATGCTGAAATTGATAGTTTATCCATACATTTGAAGAAAAAGGGTATGTCAAAGAAGATGTTAAGCCAAATATTGACCCGATAGATCAGAAAAAATAAAAATTTTCGCATATTCTCTCTACAGTCCTTGTTACCCCTTTAAATACCAAAACTCAAATAAAGTGTGATTACCATGCATCATGACCAAATGAACAGGCCTGATGGTATAAGAAATAATATTAGAGTACAAGAGAGACATATAAAACACCTGTCTGAATTCAGTCCAAATTCTTCAACAGTTAGACCAGAATTTTTACCAAATTCTGGGTCCCCAAAATCTTATTTTCGACCCCTTATTGATACACTATGGCTCTTTATTCAAGAATATATATTCGTATTATACAGTTGACTTTAACAACCTAAATTCTGACACCTGTACCACTTTGAGTGATCATTTATTATTATAAAGATAACATGAGATGTGCATGCTAACATTACATGTAATAAATTGATATCATATGGTGAATATCAAGGTACATGTACAACCATTTAAACATCCTCCTTCGGTTACCATCTCCAACTCCTTTATAAATTACAACCCAGATTTTATTATAGAATGTATATGTTAGATATATTTTATAACTTAGATTATCATAAATCTGTAAATTCATGTTTATTCTTCCTAGCTTAGTGGCTTTTTATTAAAGGTCCATAAATCTTTTACACCTCAAAGAATTGAAAGACTTCCATTTGCTAGATATGGACAATATACATACATGTATATGAATAAACATTTTAAAGTTGTGCCTCTGTTAAAAGAACAATGTACAAATGCCTTTACTTCTATGGTCCTGTCTTTATCTTGGATATTAAACGTACTTTTTATCTTTATTTATATCTATGAAGTCAATTTAGCGGTATGTTGACATTATTATTGTCAAAATCATAAATCAAACTGTGACACAAAAGTATGTTCATGTACTGGTGTTTTATACAACAAACATTATAAATGTGTGTTTAATATAAAGGGACATGAATGTACCAAATACCAAACACCCAGATGGCAACTCTTGTCTTTATTGCAGATGCCCTTTTGATAACCTCAACGTGTTTGTGCAGCATACCTCAAAGCTTCCCCGTTGCTTAAAATTAATGGTATCTAACTTACAAAGAATGAGGGTAAGGGAGGGGGGTTGACATTGGGTCCATAGATTCATGTATTGTTTTAGTACAAAGTACATACAGTGTTATGTGATTGTCTGCTTTCAGTGTTGGATGCTGTTGGGAAGCCTCCCAGTGCTATATTACGGGGCAACTTCAAATGGCTTGGTTCATTCAGTCAGTGCACTAATATAACAGCTTGGGTATGTATGATCCTACAGATCCATTTCATACATATTTTGAAGAATTTGATATTATGCACCATTTCCTTTTAACATGATTTATTTAATGAGTATCTTTACATATCACAGCAGGATTTGGAAAGTTTATCTATCCACCTATTCCATTTATTGCCCCTTTATTCATCAGTTTTTAGCCAGTCAGAAAATATTAGATCTTAGGGATACATAGTATATACACATTTAAGCCTAACAAATAAATAGCCTCTGTGTTTTCATAGGTGAATGTAAGTGGTAAAGTAGAGAGTCCCTTCTCAGGAAAACATTGTATGGCAACTATAGTAAAAGCCTATGGTACTCCAAATAAACAGCTAGGATCAGGGCCGGTAAGACAATGTGCTCTGCTGAGAGTCTAAAATCACATTTTGTTCAATTTGGATCAGGGTTGGTGAGAGAGTGTATTAGTGTCTAAATTTGATATTTTGTTAATTCTTATATTTGCATTTATAAAGAATAAAACTGATTCAATACTTGTTATTTTCATTAAAATCTTTTCACTTACAAATTCTCTGCATAAACTTCTATAGATATTACTACAAGCAAAGCATTTCGACAGAACAGGGAGTAAAGAGCAATCCACTAGTGATCTGCCATCTACGTATGATCATCTGTTTCAAGTCTTCAAGCTAGAACCACTATGTCTGTATGAGTATCATCTATTATTAGATATCATTTATATCATGTTCAGTAGATTAAGTTCTTAGGAGTGGAGTAGCTTTTGCTTCTAAAATTTGAAAGAAAAATCCAATGTTATATTATTTCTTTAGTTGCCTGCAGCCTATGGGAAGATAGCACTTTCCATTGCTGTATGTGTGCCCAGTAGCTGCGATGTTTATGATGTTGCAGGTCTTGTCAACTCAGGTATGCTAACGTGACTGGAATTTCCATCTGCTCATTGCATATTAATTTCACAGCATTGCTTTCTAAAACCATTATGAAATCTTGAACTTTATTACATTTTCAAACTATTTGGAGGATTGACCTCATCCTTTGCATGTACAAATTCAACATTTTTCCAGATATGATCATTCAATTTCAGGTCTATTTGCTCTCCCTGAGAACTACATAGTGTATCCTCTGCCGACATGCACCAATACTAACATTCCCTTAGATTGGAGGGCTATCCTTGCTATGTAAGTTTTTTTGACATTACAATCACTATTGTGACATCACAATCATTATTCCTTCAAGGCCCACTATACTTCATTTAAAAGAAAATAATAATCAATGAAACATGTTACTCACACACTTGCTCAAATACGAATCAAAGTTTGATTTGATTTTATATTGAACCAAGACAAAAATTACTCGAAAATATTTTTTGATTAATCATTGTAAGGTTTGATGTGGTCTGTTTGAACTGTCGTTGGTGTCAAATTAAGATAAGGTTCCTATCAATACATTGGACATTATACAAATTTCAAATGTATGTCTTTATTTTGCCCAAAAACATTAAAAATAAGCAAAGTGGGCCTTTAAGTTCATGGAAACAATTGGAAACACATGCATTATCTCCAGGTTGATTTTTGGTAAACAATAATACATGTATTACAAAATACAATACAATACAATACAATTAGCCATATTTCATTTGAAAGAGTGGAGTTGTCTTCAGTAAAAGCTATTTGTATTGCATTGCTTATGAAGTAGAATGTTTGATGGGATCACCAATGAGACTGGCCAAAAACATTCACATTGAGCCATATTAGACTTGAAATAATAAAATATTCACTTCAAGGACTTAAACAATAGCCCACAATCCCACATCTACATTTCCCGAAAGTGATGTACTGGAATAAATGATGGAATAAATGATAATTTACTAAAGGAATAATCATATCAACAGCATTTTTAACATTTTTAATTACAGAGTCATCTTTAGCATATTTGGCTGCCTTGTAGTATTAGCAACATTGCTTGATGCATTAATTTACATGGTAGAACTGAATGAGCCTAAAGAACATGCAACACTGAAAGATGTTATAGAAGATGTTATTGCAAAGGAACCTGCAAATGGAGTGGTAAATGTGGTTACCAATCATCACAATGCCACTGAATACACACCATTAATTGCAAATAATACACAAGTTGCACCAAAGCCCACACAACATGGTAAATCAAATTTTATGATTTTGTTGAGTAACATAACATTGATTAAGAACAAGAATATTGTTACTTGAAAATTTTGCCCACAAATTAATTTACTCACACTTAAAATGTTTTATTTTTACCATGCTATTTCAGAGGGCTATTTTGTAGTATTGTGCTGGGGGGGGGGGGGCACATAAATCTGATTTATTAGTTTAAGCATGGCCTCTTAAAGGCAGAATCTGATCTATAGGGGGTGACAAAATTACTAGCAACATGTACAACTGACCTCCCAATCTGTTTCCTACAATCTCAAATACAATATCTCCCAAAAGATTCACAATATGTTATAAATGGTGAAGTTATTGATGATTCAAAGTGCAAAAATGGCTGGAAAATGTTTAAATTCTCCCAAATAATAAGAATGGTAACCATTCGTATGCACTTTTGTGATTTTTAGAAAATAGACATGACAAGGAATGACATGAACCAAAAATATTCTAAAATGGAGACAATTTTATGTTTAGCCTGCTTGCTCTATCTGATTCTCTCTTAAAGTATGAACACATTATGTAGTATAATCAACACATCGATCAGCGTCTTAGGTGTGTTAATTAATGACCTTTTGCATACTTTTCAATGTTCTGCAAAACACACCCTCGTGCATTATGTTTGTGGTGAGTACATGCATTCATGCTTGATCATGCTTGCTTTTAGGAATAGCTCTGAGAATGCTGTTGTGTTTCTCTGCCTACACTAATGGAGACAAGATCCTTAAAGTTGGCCCTCCATCAGAAAGTAGTTTAGACTGTGTGCATGGAATACGATTCTTCAGTATGACTTGGGTCATGTTGTGCCATACATACTTTTTTGGACTTGTTGTGACAGGTAAATTAAAAAAGAAAATCTTTACAAATTCTATACCAACTATTTAAAGCTTTTTTGAATTTTTTTAAGAATTAGTATACAACATGGTTAACAGTTTTCACTCATTAATCATACTTAGTAAGCTGCCATTAGCATGGTTATGCTGTGTTTTGATTGGCTAGAGAGTGATAATGCATGCAATGCTATGTGTGGATATTTATTCATTTAATTCTACTTTTTACAGCTAATCCTGCATTATTAGGAGATTATCTAAAACGCTACAGCTTCCAAGCAATCATCAATGGATACTTTTCAGTTGATGCTTTCTTTTTCTTAAGGTAATGAACTACATTGTATTTTGTAAATGAAAATGACCACTCAGGGCTGAATCATGAAGTTGCATTTTAGAATATGTACTGTACATGTAAATTAAAATAAATATTATTCAAACAGAAAAATAAGATACATATACTTGTACATGTACATGTATCTATCATGTATAGTACAGTATATAACATTGATATAAAAGTAACTATAAATTTGTGACTGCCCACTGTATTTTTGCAGATATAAAAGTCTGCACCTAAAAGATTATATAAATATGTGCCACAAAAATTATTAAAAATAAATTCAGTTATCGTTCTTATTGCAGTGGTTTATTAGTATCCTACCTTGTGCTCAGGGAACTTAAGGCCAAAAATGGGAAATTGAATTGGATTATGTATTACTTCCACAGATTTTGGAGGTAAGTAGTAAACGTGTGTACCCCAAATTGTTCTTTGGGTGATCTAGTTTCAGTAGTGGTGACATTGTATTACCCCCTGTTTTGACTGCTTTGGCTGCAGGCAGCGTCCATTACAATGATGCTTATTCATTTTAGTAATTTCATGATAATTTGCAATAACCTACCATGCTACCTACATTTTATCTTATTGGATATATAAATAGATAAACAATTGCAAAATGTCATCCCTATACCATGTGTATGTATCTAGAAGTATGAATATGTAAGAACAAGTGGTAAAGGGAAAAGCAAAAATATATTCAAAAGACAGTTAAAAAAGGAAAGTGTCATTCAAGCCCGCATTCAAGAACCATTATGATCTTATTGAGATTTGTACAACTAAGAATGTGGAATACCTCCCAAGTGGAACACTTTTTAGAGGAACCAAAGGTGTTCCACTTAGACAGGTTCTACTGTACTTTATTCATTTCATTGTAATGATTTTTCTCTTCAGGTTGACCCCACCGTATATGCTGATTCTCATGTTCAGTGCTTGTTTGACGCGCTATGTGAGTACAGGCCCACTGTGGCCTGAGCAGGGCTTTGAACGTAACTACTGCAATGACACCTGGTGGACAAACTTGCTGTATATAAACAATTTTGTCAAAGATGACAAAATGGTAAGAAATTGATCCAATCTGAAAAGGCATGATAGGAATACACAATAAAAGTGTCGATCAAAAGTGCCCACCAAATAGCATAGTAAAATGATAAAAATTGTAAAAAGTCAAATTTTTCTTTCACCCTCTTGCACACTCACAACCGATCTGGCAATTCCCCAAATAATTTTTAATTAACTCAAACACATCAAATGGGTCCAGAAACATCAAAAGTGCATTTTGGAATTGTAAAATTTCCTCATATAGATGGTGGGGAGAGGAACTCCTTACTACTGGCTGGTGCAAAATATTGTAAGCCAAAATTAAAGAAAAAATACATAACCCCACCTGCCCTGTTTATTTAAATGTATTATCTCTAGTGTATGGGCTGGTCCTGGTATTTGGCAAATGACATGCAGTTCCACTGGATAAGTCCCATTCTCATCATTGCATTTTTCAAGTAAGTAAAAAAAATTGTACAAGTATACATGTATCAGATAGTATTCAGAATAAGATGAAGCTCAAGAAGTGGTTAGCACTCATGTTTTCTCTGTTGTCAATACATAAATAGCCCATTGAGTACTACAGTTCACTTCTCTATTTAACAGCAATGTCTGTAGTAATTATAGCATAACATTATCAAAATTATAACATTTTGATAATTATAACATTTATAGTGCTATACAGTTTGCATGTATTTTATTTTACAGGTCTGGAATTGCTGGATATATAGTGACTGGGGTCATGTTACTTGGGCATCTGATTGCAACTGGATTGCTGTCGGCTGAATATGGAGATAACTGGTCAACAATGACTAACCCTGCCAAAGTAGCTGGACACCCGTGAGTCACAGAATTGTTGATACTCAATAGTTGAAGTGCTAGAAAGAAATCAAACTCCATTCTAATACTCATTCCATCCTTTTCTGACAAAAGACAAAATTGAAATTGCCCACCTTATATGTTCTTTTTTTTCAGTAGAATATTGAGGCTCAAAATGTCTTACTTGGTTGCACCTTCCACATGATTAAGAATCAATTTCCATTCTGTATTTTTACTAAAACTAAAATTTTCATTTGAAACTCATCTTTAATTATAATGACTGATGCCAGACAGTTATCCCTAGAAATTACATCTACTTATTTCAATTTTGAATTACTATTTTTGTTGATTTTCAAATGTTGATAAATCAGATTATTACCTTGTAGACAAGCTGGGTTCCAAAATATCTACATCAAGCCATATACACGTATAGGACCATATCTAGTTGGTTTTGTAGTGGGATACATTCTTTACAGGACCAATAAAAAAGTCAAATTGCACTGGGTAAGTCTTTGTCATTATTTATAGCATCCTTGGGGACTATATTGAAATTGTTTATTTTTCATTAAAATTGTGTATTATGGTCAGTAATGGATTTTGATATATTGGTTTCTGAATGATGGGTAGGGGTGTGTTAGAGAATTTTTTCAGTCAGATTATTGTGTCTGGAACGCTGAGGTTGGACTTGCTTTTGACTGGCTCTACTCTTAAATGTTCCATCTCTTAACATGAACCTCTGGAACCACCCACTTGTCTGTTTTGCCTCCATTTCTGCCCACCCATCTGCCCATCCACCCGCTCTTCATTACAGTATATACAGTATATGCTGATTTTATGTTGAAAATTTTTCAGCTTCATCTACCGAGGTTTTACAGTTTTTACTCTTTCTAAATTTCGTAAAAAGTTGGATTTTGAGTTCCAGTTCAGAATTTGCAACATTAGTGTTTGTACATTCCAGGCTGTTGCTTTACTAGGATGGGTGATAGCTGCTACCCTATCACTGTTAACTCAATATGGACTCTGGGGTATATTCAATGGACACCCCCTCTCTGATAATGTAATGACCCTCTATGATGCTACCTGCCGTACTGTTTGGTGTATAGGACTTGGCTGGGTGGTCTTTGCCTGTTGTACAGGCTATGGAGGTAAGGAAGAAATAAAACTATTAATTGGTGAAATGCAGTAAAATTAAGAAATGCTTTCTTCCTCTCATGTGTTATGTTCCACAGATATTTTGATATATGTTTTGTATCTATCCAAGGCTCGATTAAAGGAACATTGTGTTTCAATTTGATACCATTATTATGTATATTGGGCCATGTTAATAATTCCCAAAAAATTATCATGGTTGTGAATGTCTCTATTTCTCTTTATTCAGGGTTTGTGAACACGATCCTCTCCTGGCCTGGGTTGATTCCCTTGAGTCGTCTGACGTACTGCTGTTACCTCGTCCACCCCATAGTGATGTTAATTATCTTTTACAGTAGGGACACAATGCTTATTATGTCAGACATTGGCCTTGTTCAGTCTTTCTTTGGTATCTTCATGAGCACATATGGCGTGGCGTTCATTGCATCAATGTGCCTTGAAGCACCATTTATGCGACTCGAGAAAATTATATTTAAACGATAGATGTGTTGACTATATATGAGAAATACATATCTCTATGAAAAGGATGTTTTCAAATTCCTCTTGGCAATCCCTAGATTCGCAAGCACATATGTTATAATTAAGGATAAAGACCAAGTCATGAATGAAGGATCTGGAGTTCCACTGGGTTTGCGGAGAGAAGAAAAGAGTCCTGATTGCTCAAAATCATGAATAAAATATTTTTGCTACCTGATTCAATATAAGGCTGACAGTAACAATGGCCAATCAGTTATTTTGAAAGGATTTAAGCACAACCACCCTTTATCCATATATAGAATAAAAGAACATCTTTTGATGTACTCTTGTGATTTTTGTACACTTTTAAATCATACAATATCAATATCATGTGTACATTTGATATTATGAAATATTTTTATGAATGCTTTATTTTGTTATCTAGTACATACTGCTGAACAGTAGCCTATTAGATTTTCCAGAAAATATTATATTTTGGACTAACCGGATAATATTCCTGGGTGGTCCACTGTATACAAACTTTGGTGGGGATCCTTGGCTGAACTCTCAGATACCACTAGGTTTCCAGAACAATCTGTCCAATTTAAATATATGTTCCCATACAAATCAATTTGTGTAATATCCAAAGTATTTGGCAGATTCATGTAAATATAAACACCCAAAAGCCATACCAAACATAAGACCAATGCCATACCAAGTGTCTAAATATAGGACTTATGCCATATCGAATGTCCAATTATATTTTTGTGAAAACGGTCCATGTGCAGTATGGCAAGTGATTTTAGAAGGTCATATCTTTCACCATGGGTACTTTCTGGTCATCAATACAGTGGTTTTTATTAAAACAATTTGTTTACTTTCAAGTGAAGTCCCCATGGTAGTAAAATATCATTCTAACTCTATGAAAAATTATGGATTAGGACCCCACCTTGTCACTTTTTTAAAAATGTTAGGCTCATTTTCTAAAAAGAGGATCTTGTTTTTCTCAATTTGAACATATCGAAAGTTTCTTCTACTCTATAATAACAATTTCTGAAAAGGGGATGTGTATTGAAATGCGTTAAAGTTAAAAACCACATATCCCATGTTATTTTCCCATAGGGAAAACTCGTGCTTTCCATTGTTTTCAGCATAGTTTTGGTCATCGAAAATGGATATCTTCAAAGCTAGACTTTCAATACCATTCTACTTTTGAAGACGTTTTAGACCCCTTCTTGAATAATCTTTTCATGCAATAAAAATCAGAAAAAGAAGATCCTCTTTTGAGTAAATAGGTTCGACAATTTGAAAAAAACTGTTGACATGGGGTCCCTATTAATAATATTTCGAATTGTTCGATTGATATTTTTATCATTATGGATACTTCACCTGAAAGAAAACAAATTGTTTTAATAAAAAACACTGTATTTATGCCAAGAAAGTGCTCATGGTTAAAGATATGACTATCTAAAATCACTTGCCATACTGCATATGGACCTTTGGGTTCAATAGCATACCAAATGTTAAAGAAGATACCCCATGTGTGCCGAGGATCCCTGTCAAAATTTCTATACAGTGAATCCCCCGAGATAATATTGTACCATGTTCTTGCTGAATAATATTATTTCATGTTTCATATCAGATATTACATAATGTTGTTTTTCAGTGAATATCATTGTATTGTTATTATATTGTTAGCTATTATTGTTTGTATGTTGTGAGGTATAGTGAACATTTGGTCATGTTTGAGTTGACTACATAAAAGCTTTTACTTTATGTTTTCTTGGGTATCAGCAATCAATCTTGCAAAATATCAAAAATTAGACAGATTTTAGCTCAGGCGAAAATTATGACTACATTACAATGTACACAATGTGACATATTTTACTTTATTTAGGACCATGTTCAGGCCTGTAGCCAGGGGGTACTCTCCAGCTAATTTTCTTTTGAAACTATTCTGTTTTTCACCATTTTGAGTACTTATCAAGTGATTTTGGGCCAAAATTGTCAAATTTGAACCTACCCTGGAATTTTAAAAAAATGAACATCCCCTTGGCAAAACCTGGCTACTGGCTTGATGTTATATGTAAATATTTATGTATTTATATGAATGTCATTGTGGTATCAACAGCTCAGGACTTCTCTTTCACTAAAGAATTGTCCTCTCTACATATCTAAAAGAGGGAATGATAGATGGTTGTGATGTGTGGAAATATTGACTTTGTGAGTCATATACATTTTACATTTTGAATGGAATTATACAATGCAATGGTCTAACATTTTTTTGATGCTCATTACCATAAACTGCATGCTTTTTAAATGTATTAGAATAAGCAATTTATTTATTTGTGTTTATTTGATGTAATGAATAGAAATACTAACACTGTGGGCCCAAAAATTGGAAAATTTTTCCATCAATTGTAACTTTTTGTTAGTCATGTATTATCTTCAATACTTTAGGAAATTTAAAAACAATTCATGATCAAGAGCTTGTGTAAATATGAATATACAAGCTCAACATTTAATTACTCAATGCAAGGGTTTCTTAAACATTTCCTCCTCACACCTGAACTATCGGCTGTATTTGACAGTCATACATGGCTTAGATGTTCGGTTTTGAGACATATTGTGCCAGTTTTGAAAAAAGGTGAGGTCAGTTAAGCTTTATTATCAAAGGGAGACATATTTAACTTCTAAAGATAACTGCATATGTTTTAGTTGATGGAAATTGCTCCGAGTCCATTTGAAGGGCACAAATTGTATGGTATGAGATACTGTATTTTCAGCAGTAATGTCTCAAGTACAGAAAATTTGGAAATTTTTCATGACACACACAGTAGACAGATCATGACTGTGACAAGCCAAAAATAATTATACATACATATTTTTATCTTTGACATTTTCACAAATATTCATTTTATCATTATCTGAACTTGTGTGGATTGAACTGCAATAATAAAGAAAATTGAGTAAAAATGTTCCAATTTTTATTGACCCACCCTGTGCATGTTGAAAGTGAAAACTGCTGATCATTCCATTGGTTTAATTACCTACCTCATACTCTCTGACTACCTGAATTTAATTAAATTTTACATGACAAATACAGAGTTTTCAAAAGCTACGTGAAATGTATTTCCCTCGCCCTATAGGCTGCGGGCGAGACACACTGCATAATTCATGTAAAGATGAACAGGTATTGTTGGAACATAGAATGATGCATTGAGAACAATAGTTTTGTTATTGACATCATGGACTTACAGCTATCACATGTTAAAAATGATCAGTATTTAAGTGCAACTATGTTGAATTATTTATTAAAGCTGTGGCTAAATTCATTTAATTAATTGACAATCATTAAAAAAGAAACTATGAACATGGATTTTAGTTTTTCACCCTTTCACATTATAAAGTCCATAAAGTCTCTATTCTTTACACAGATTTTGTACTGTAATGGTAAAGAGACTTTGTGGGTACCCTGTAATTTTACAACATTACTGTAAGATACTTAAATCTTTGTAGAATTTTACTATATTCTGCCAATATATTATTTGCATTATTTTATGATATGTTGTTCATGTATAAATATGTTGAGGAATAAATCATATGAATATATATTTGACAAGATAACCTAGTTCAATTCATTTCGACTGTTTATATCATAATGATAAATTCAAGCCTACAACAGTATCTTTTTCTTTCAATCATACTATAATGGAAGATATACCATAATAAGAATACCATAATGGTAGATAGATTATTCAATTTCATAATTTGGTTATCACAATTTCCCAGAACTTTTTTGTGATGGAAATACTAATCCATTACTTCGAGCTGAGACTATTACATAAAATTTTTATGAGTGGGCGTCAGCTTCAAGGCATGAGTTCAACATGGTTCAAACATCTTTTTTTAGAAATAAGAGTTTTCATTTTTGAGCGATTTTGATTTAACTCATATCAGTTCATTTCTGCATTTTGTCCAGTTTTACAACTACTTCCAATTAAAAGAGGAAAAAAAGAAAGTGTTTATGTCAGCCTAATGGATCCAGTCACAGTGTGAACGTAGTCTTTTTATGAAGATGTTGAAATCCCAGAAACAAGTAAGAGAGAATGTGAATACCGTGTGTTTATGAACATAACAGACTTATGTAACCTTTTTTAATCTATCAAATCAATCAATCAATGATTGATAATCGCATGGCGTAAGTTGATTGACGTTTCACTTAATTTAATAAATTGTTAACGTTCGGTGTTTTGATGTATAATGAAACGGAAGTGGGGGTAATGTTTGAAATCATACGGGGAAGTCATGTAATACATCTTTAGCTCTATATCAATAAACGTGAGTATAACTTAACCTCCACACAGCGAAAACATGAGTGGGGGAATATTTCTACGGGTTACTATTGGATTTGCACTCTGTCTTACACTTTCTGCTGCACACGACTCTCAGAGTCAGAATCAAAAAAGAAATATTTTCAATTTCATCCAAAATCAAGAATTATTTGATTTTGAACATTCTGAAGTTGCGAAAACATTTGAACAAATATCAAATTATGAACTGGACAACTTAGAAGCTGATCTCCGGAGGAACACAAATGTTTCAAAGACATGTCTTGATCATACCATGATGATACTGGATGGTGTCAGGGCTGGAGAGTTTTGGGCATTGGAAAGTAAGTTATAGAAACCACGTATAGATTTACTAAATGTACATGTAACATTATATTGAGTTCGATCTAAAGAGAGATGAAACCAAAGCCTTCTTCACTTCTTCTTCACTTGAAAGCCCATGATAAAACCTTTCATACCCACAGGCCTTACTTCCTACGAAAGCTACAGTGTACATGTAGGTTGTAGGTTTTATGACGGTTGGGAAAGGCCAACTGACATGTGGGAAAGACCACTTGGCACTCTGGAAAAGACGGAGGGACAGCTGGGAAAGACTAGTGCACAAGAACATGCAGTAAGGGATGTGTGATACAGGCTGATCTCGAATCGCTCTGCATGAATGATCGTATTATTCGCGGGCGCAGCTTGACCTGCGTACCAATAGACTGTAAACGTGTATGTGTGACGTGCATAACCTGCTACATTATGTACACACACAAGAAAGATGGTACCACAAAAGATCTCTTCTACACTATACAGAAGGACCTGACGGATGTACGAAACACGTCATGGTATACCTTTGGGTCTGTAATACAGATTTCTTTTCGAGAAGTAGCAGCGCAGTGATTTTATAGTTACGTGAGCCGTAGAGGGACTCGGCCAGGATTAACCCCACAGAGCCTCTGACCCTCATGCTATGGACCTCCTGCATGCAGAACAGAACAGTATTCAATGCTGAGAAAGAAACATCTACCAACTGACAAAGCACCAACGAGGAGTTATTCTAATACCAGTATCTTTACAGTAGGCAAGTACCATCTATGGCAACCGTTAGAGATACAGGTGGAGGTTTAACCTCTGCTGGGGGCACCTTCCAGATAATAATCGGATATAGTCGGAGCATGGGCAAAGTCCCATTGCATAGCCCCCGAAATCCGAGGAAGGGAGACTACTGATGATGTATCTCGGTAGCCAGTATTGATGAGCACTTTGTGTTTTTTTTTTTCATGTAGGGGAAATGGTCCTATCACCGCACGGGTACTCTGGAAAACTACTGACGATTTCAAATATGATAACTTCAACTTACTTTGAGAATATGAGATGAAAGATCAACCTTTCTTCTAAAATTTAAGTAGTGTTTGACATTTCTCAATCTCCGAACGCTAACACTTTAAGACCCCTTAGACTCGCATGTGCGGTGGTCCTAATTATCGCACAGTCGTCCTAATTATCGCACAGTTGTGTTTCAGATGTCATTTCACGATACTGTACACATTTCTCTGTTTATAACAGATACACACATATGCTATAATCATTTTTCTATCAGTTTTAGTGTAAAATATAAACAAAATATACATTTTACACTTTATTTTCTGTCTTTAGTTGGAGGGGAGTCAAACTTTGTCAGACGAATTTCACTTCTTGCGCAATAGCAAAGCGGAAGTAAACAATTCTTAAAAGATGAAGAGATATTTCAACATCATTACTCCCAATCTTTATGATTTATTTAAAACATGAATAAAAAACAGATCAGTGACTTACTTTTGGTCTCTATCTGTGTCTTATATGGTATCATCACCCTCCATGCAAGTATTGGAGCGCTGAAATACTTCTTTTTCGATCAAGACTTGTAAATTGTTCATAGAGTGAATGTTTTTCAACCCGTTTCCAATATGGCGGTTTGCTTGGAGTGAGATACGCAACGAATGAAATGACTTGAGAATGAGTTAGGTTCAGACAACCTCTGGAGATTTATGGGAATGCCTGAGCAGAAAACGCCATATTGGAATTTGGCAGAAAAAACATTCACTCGACTAATAATTTCAAGTCTTGATCGAAAAGGAAGTACTTCAGCGCTCCAATACTTGCACGGAGGGTGATAATGATGTATGACATACATGTAGTTAGAGAGCAAAAGTAAGCCGCTGATCACCTTAATTCGTGTTTCAAAGGTCACTTTTATTCAGTTGTCCATTTCTCCGTTGGAGAGCCATAAGTTTCAAAATCTAACATGACTCTCGAAGTGAGTAACACAGGCCCAGGAAGAAGATTAAATCCCCCCCACCCAAAGTATGATGTATGGCTATTTACTGGAGACACTTATTTTGATGCAACTTAATTTGACGGATTTGCTCAATTTCAAATATTGGTGGCTATTTAATTTGGAGGATTCATGACTGAAGTTTAATTTTTGTAGATGTTTATGGTGTTTATTAAGATATTTTCTGTATTTCTTTTGGAATAATATAGAATTGATGACATGTTGACAGTATTTAAGGCCAGTATGTATGTTGGAATTTTTTTGCAATTTTGAAATTGTAAACCACTGAATATTCTAGTTATTCAAACACTCTGAAGAGTTATCAACCCTCAATTAATTGTCTAGGTACACTACTGCATCTTTTGTGCAAGAATGAAAGATGTAGATGATGTGTGGAATGAGTTATGTTTATCTGAAAAAAGCACATGGAATTTCATCATAGCGCATGAAATTTCATCAAAGTGCACCCTGACCTTAAGTGATAGACATTAATTTTTAGTTTCCCAGGATTTCGTCTTCTGCAATTTCTGGCATGGTGTGATCATTAAATATACTCAACAGATTTATATTAAGAGAATTTGAAATGTGTTGTTAATAGCAGTAGCAGATATTGTATGCTGGGGTTGTAGGGGTTGGGAACTGAATAATGAGTTACGTTTTTTGACAGACATTGAAATATTGACCCGGCCCCTTATTATGCACTTGGTCAGGACTTTGTACTTAGGTACCTAGTTTTTAACCTAAAAGTGATAAACAAGCATGATAGTGTTGCATTGTATTGTTTAATTTATGTTATATCAAATTGTTTAATTTCATGATTAAATGCACCATTTGGTGTAACTTTAAATCATGTCATTTTACCTTTTGTCAGTTGCGGGTCAAAACAGTGTATTGTGTTTTATTCAGATATAAGTGAACATGTATATATCACAATCCATTACTGACCATATCCATTTTATTTTAATACATGTTCATTGTATAAATACTGTGAAAACCGTCACACAGAAAAAAACAAGGTTCACTTTAAGATACGTCAGAGTTACTCTCTGCATATTTTGTCAGTGTTTTCAGTATTATTTAATAAATTTTCAATGGATAATATACATGTAAATATTCATTCTTTCACTTGACAGTCACCAAAGACAGATCAAATCACTTACAATCAATCATTAAAAACAAGTATTGTCTTCGTACAAAGTACATACAGTGTTATGTGATTGTCTGCTTTCAGTGTTGGATGCTGTTGGGAAGCCTCCCAGTGCTATATTACGGGGCAACTTCAAATGGCTTGGTTCATTCAGTCAGTGCACAAATATAACAGCTTGGGTATGTATTGTCCTACAGCCCTTCTCATGGTGTACCTAAGTATGATTACAGAATAGGAATTTTTGAGTTGTTAACACTAAATGTATCATTCAGACAATAGTGAAAGGTGGAGGCAATTGAGAATAAAGGTGTGAAACATTCTGTATTTCACCTCTCAGTTTACACTTTGCACCTGTTTATTAAATTTTCATCAGTTTCTATATACATGTACTGTAGGTTTAAAATCTTGCTAATTCTCATTTTTTGTGATTTTAAGAGATTTGCATTCAAACCTCTAATGACTTGCTAAATTCATTATTTCTAATATCATATTAGGATTCAGTGAAAAGTTTCCACTATAACAACATGCAGTTATTTTATTGAAAGAACCATGACTCTCAACTTTTCCAAAAACTGTGGGCCAAATCTCCATTTATGCATTGTTAAAATTCTTTAAAACCTTGATTTATTCATTCAACAACCAAAATTTTCATGATTAATCACAATATGTATGTTATAAGGGGTATCCCGATTATATGCAATTTAAGCTTTAGGCAGATTCAACCAACACTTTTTGATAAATCATGAACTTAAGAGAATATTTTTAAAATTGGAGCCTATGGCAGTCTGGCCCAACCAAAACAAAATAAAAAAAGTGCTGACATCTATATATTCAGCTTTATTCAGCTATATAGCAATTCCCTTACTGGCATCTAATATTATAGGAATATCCTAGGACTTTGAAAGATCATCATTTACATATCCATGAGTGGATATAATTGATAATTTTTTAAAACCATTGGATTGTCCATTTATCCACATGGAAAATCATGATCAGGGAAAAGTTTTGGAAAAAGAAAATTTAGAAATTTTTTTAAAAATAAATTGAAGAAAAGAAGAAATTCTGAAAAAAATTCAAAAATATTTTTAAAAATTCAAAAAAACAATTTTGAATAAAAACTTGAAGAGAATGAATAAATCTTTTTTAAAAAAATAGAAAGTATCTTTCACTTTTTAAACCATTGAATATCACTTTTGAAAACCATCAAATATCACTTTTTAAGAAGTGATATTTAATGATTTGGGAATGTTTCCTAATATATGATTTCTTGATCCACATATCAAATATATCACATTTTCATGTGATATTGGATCTATACCCTTGCACACCAGGCCCTTGCAACCATGGGATAATGTAGAATCAAAACTCAGCTTATAATCTCTTAATTAATTTGATATTATGAAGTGAAATGTAGTAATGACAGCACTACGGTTTTAACATGACCATTTATATATTCATTTAGGTGAATGTAAGTGGTAAAGCAGAGAATCCATTCACAGGAAAACATTGTATTGCAACTATAGCAAAAGGCCATGGTGATGGGCTTCAGCAGAGTCCATCTGGAGCAGAGGTTAGTGAAGTTTTTATGATGAGCTTATGACACCAAATGTTTCTAAAAAAATGTCTGCTTTCAGAGTATTTTTAGTCGTGTTTAGTTAGTTTCAAATCAGTTATTTTTATCCCATTGTTCGGAGGGATATAGGGAACGCCTCCTTCCGTCCGTCCGTTCTGCTAGAAAGCAGATTTTCAAAATGGCTGCTCGTTAAAAAATGGCAGCCATTTTAGTGCCGATTTTACAGTAATTTAGGTACTGTATTATGTCACCACCAAAAGTGGTGACATATTGTTATGGTCTCCGTTTTTTTGCGACGGCGGTTGGTGGTTGGAGGTTGGCGGTTGGTGGTTGGAGGTTGGTGTCCGGCGTCCGGCGTCTGTAACAATTTCTTACAACTTCCTAGAACTTAACAAATACTGTTTAGACTGACTTCAATTTTTTTCTAAATCATCTACATGTTCTCAGAAGTTCAAATCTGACTTTAGATTTGACATTTGACCTTCAATGACCTTCTCAAGGTCAAAAAGGTCTTTTTTCAACTTGCTTCACATTGACTAAATTTTTTTTCAAAATCATCTACATGTTCTCAGAAATTCAAATCTGACTTTAGATTTGACTTTAGATTTGACATTTGACCTTCAAATCTGACTTTAGATTTGACATTTGACCTTCGATGACCTTCTCAAGGTCAAAAAAGGTCAAAAAGGTCTGTTTTCAACTTGCTTCAAATTGACTAAATTTTTTTTTCAAAATCATCTACGTGTTCTCAGAAATTCAAATCTGACTTAAGATTTGACTTAAGATTTGATATTTGAGCTTCAATGACCTTCTCAAGGTCAAAAAAGGTCAAAAAGGTCTGTTTTCGACTTGCTTCAAATTGACTAAAAAAAATTTTCAAAATCATCTACATGTTCTCAGAAATTCAAATCTGACTTTAGATTTGACTTAAGATTTGACATTTGACCTTCAATGACCTTCTCAAGGTCAAAAAAGGTCAAAAAGGTCTTTTTTCAACTTGCTTCAAATTGACTAAATATTTTTTTCAATATCATCTACATGTTCTCAGAAATTCAAATCTGACTTTAGATTTGACATTTGACCTTCAATGACCTTCTCAATGTCAAAAAAGGTCAAAAAGGTATTTTTTCATCTTGCTTCAAATTGACTAAATTTTTTTTTCAAAATCATCTACATGTTCTCAGAAATTCAAATATGACTTTAGATTTGACTTTAGATTTGACCTTTGACCTTCAATGACCTTCTCAAGGTCAAAAAAGGTCAAAAAGGTCTTTTTTCAACTTGCTTCAAATTGACTAATTTTTTTTTCAAAATCATCTACATGTTCTCAGAAATTCAAATCTGACTTAAGATTTGACTTAAGATTTGATATTTGAGCTTCAATGACCTTCTCAAGGTCAAAAAAGGTCAAAAAGGTCTGTTTTCGACTTGCTTCAAATTGACTAAAAAAAATTTTCAAAAAAATCTGACTTTAGATTTGACTTTAGATTTGACATTTGACCTTCAAATCTGACTTTAGATTTGACATTTGACCTTCGATGACCTTCTCAAGGTCAAAAAAGGTCAAAAAGGTCTGTTTTCAACTTGCTTCAAATTGACTAAATTTTTTTTTCAAAATCATCTACGTGTTCTCAGAAATTCAAATCTGACTTAAGATTTGACTTAAGATTTGATATTTGAGCTTCAATGACCTTCTCAAGGTCAAAAAAGGTCAAAAAGGTCTGTTTTCGACTTGCTTCAAATTGACTAAAAAAAATTTTCAAAATCATCTACATGTTCTCAGAAATTCAAATCTGACTTTAGATTTGACTTAAGATTTGACATTTGACCTTCAATGACCTTCTCAAGGTCAAAAAAGGTCAAAAAGGTCTTTTTTCAACTTGCTTCAAATTGACTAAATATTTTTTTCAATATCATCTACATGTTCTCAGAAATTCAAATCTGACTTTAGATTTGACATTTGACCTTCAATGACCTTCTCAATGTCAAAAAAGGTCAAAAAGGTATTTTTTCATCTTGCTTCAAATTGACTAAATTTTTTTTTCAAAATCATCTACATGTTCTCAGAAATTCAAATATGACTTTAGATTTGACCTTTGACCTTCAATGACCTTCTCAAGGTCAAAAAAGGTCAAAAAGGTCTTTTTTCAACTTGCTTCAAATTGACTAATTTTTTTTTCAAAATCATCTACATGTTCTCAGAAATTCAAATCTGACTTTAGATTTGACATTTGACCTTTAATGACCTTATCAAGGTCAAAAAAGTTCAAAAAGGTCTGTTTTCAATTTGCTTCAAATTGACCAAATTTTTTCATCTACATCTTTTCAGAAGTTCAAATTTGACTTTACAAGTTCTCAGAAGTTCAAATCTGACTTTAGATTTGACCTTTGACCTTCAATGACCTTCTCAAGGTCAAAAAGGTCTTTTTTCAACTTGCTTCAAATAGACTAATTTTGTTTCAAAATCATCTACATGTTCTCAGAAGTTCAAATCTGACTTTAGATTTGACATTTGACCTTCAATGACCTTCTCAAGGTCAAAAAGGTCTTTTTTCAACTTGCTTCAAATTGACTAATTTTTTTTTCAAAATCATCTACATGTTCTCAGAAGTTCAAATCTGACTTTAGATTTGACATTTGACCTTCAATGAACTTTTCAAGGTCAAAAAGGTCTTTTTTCAACTTGCTTCAAATTTTCTTAATTTTTTTTCAAAATCATCTTCATGTTCTCAGAAGTTCAAATCTGACTTTACATTTGACATTTGACCTTCAATGACCTTCTCAATGTCAAAAAAAGTCAAAGAGGTATTTTTTCAACTTGCTTCAAATTGACGAATTTTTTTTTCAAAATCATCTACATGTTCTAAGAAGTTCAACTCAAACCTTCTTAAGGTCAAAAGGTATTTTCCAACTTGCTTTAAATTGACCAAATTGTTTTAGGTGGTGACATTTTGTCATGTTAATGCCTTGTTTAAAACTGTAATAGGAATATGTTTTAAATGTAAAAAAGTTATAAAGGACATTAATTAAGCTAGAAATGTAAATATAAGAGGAGGGAAAGCCCCAGAGTTTAAAGATGACAGACATAATTACGTCTCTTGCTTTACACCTTTGTTCGTTCGAATTTTCATCGGCTAGTTATCAAATACTACACTTCGATGGGATCTTTTAATTGATATAGGCATATTCCATACACCTTTCCTTATCCTGATGTGAAATGAGAAGCTATGATATTGGTTAACACGCCAGAAATGAACATAATATTATTCAAAGCATATTTCGAAAATTTTGAAACTGCCATTGATGACGTCAAATGATTGTCGACTTTTGACCAATCAGCGACGATGTCATCTCAATACAGATTTACATTATAAGCGTATGTCATCTTTGAACCCTGGTGTTTCTCCCCCTCTGTAATAATATATAAGAAATACATGGCAGCCATCTTGAAAAATGGCTTCCTTTGCACATCATTTTACGATTTTTGCTTGAATTTTTGATTAACTTGAAAAGTAGTGGAGGGATTTTGTTCATATTTGGTATGTGAATACCTTAAGCATGGCACAATGTCTAATGACATTTTTGGTAGTAGGCCGCCATATTTAAATGTGTTATTTAATATTTTTTACTGTAACCATGGGCATAAGTAGTCGAGCGATTTTGTTCATGTATGATATGTGAATACTATAAGCATGGCACACTGTCTAATGACACTTTGGGTAGTAGGCAGCGATTTTGTTCATATTTGATATGTGAATTCTCATGAACCTTGCACACTGTCTCTGATAGTAGGCGGCCATTTAAAAGAAAAATGGCCACCATTTTTACGTTGTTATTTTACATTTTTTTTATTATAACTCCAAAAGTAATGGAGTGATTTTGTTCATATTTGATATGTGAATACTCATAAGCATTGCACGCTGTCTTATGACATTTTGGGTAGTAGGCGGCCATTTAAAAATATGGCCACCATTTACATGTACGCATGTGCTATTTTGAAAAAAATTTATATTTGGCTACTTGAAAGCATATTTCTTTTTCTCATGACAACTTGGTTAGTGAGCTACCGTTTTGAAAATGTTGGCCTTTCTTATGTGTGTTCTTTTACGTTATTTGCTATATCGGTTTGTAAAAATGCCAGCCATTTCTGTTGGATGGGATTTACAATGCTTTGGCGTTGCCGTTGTCTAGTTTATTGATAGTTTTATTTATGTATTAACAATAGAAAAGTACTGGTGACCTTAAAATTGCACTATATGAGCATGGATAGACTGATATTTACATCAGTCATGTTTCAAAACAGCAGTCTTAAGCGGGAATTCATTATAGTTTAGAGATCTCTTCAAAGTATTTTTATTAACAGATTTTATTGCCATACCTTTTGATTCACACTGTAAAGTTGGCATCTATGTTATGAGGTCCCTCATTCTTTATAATTGCCTTTCATCGCTTTCACATCTCTTTCCATTTGTACAATGCCATTGTTTACCTCATCAACATCACTTTGCTCATCTCTGATGGTTGCATTAATTATGCATTAGGTTGATGTCCATATCTTCATCCCTCATCTTGCAGCAATTTTTTATTAGTTTGTTTTCAAGATTTACAATATCAGTTTTCTTGCACATGGGAATCCGATTTCCTGATTTCCTCTTTGCTCCCATGTTGTCTATAAAAGGACCAATCTTTTAAAGAAAATAAAAATGAATGTTTAGATAAAGATGTCCATGTATTTGATTAAATACAATGGAAGTAAATTCAAAATACTTCAGTCGATTTGGAATAGTTGGGCCTTCTGCTTGAGAAAAAAGTTGTGAAATGATTAATTGATTTTTGTTAACCAATTTATTTATTTTTCATATTTTATTTTTTGATCATTGGACATGTCTAGTATGGTGAAAAATAACTCACCACTTGTAAAACATATTTACGAATAAATGTAAAAGAGGAGAAAAGTATTATTTTGAAAGGGTTTCAGGGAAAGAGGAGAAACATATTATTTTGAAAGGGTTTCAAGGATGAGGAAGTTAAAAAAACTTGTGTTATTGTAATTTGAGTAAATAGATTTAAGCCTTTTATTCTTAAAATCAAGGATAAACTTCCCTTGATTTTAGTTCATGTTAAGTGTGTTTTTTAATGAAAACTGTTCCTTTCAAAAAATGTTTATAAAAATAAATTTATGGTGAGAATTAGATAAAAAGACCCAGGTAATTAGACCTAAACATTCTGTAAACTAGCAAAATGAAGAAATCACTGATAATTTACAAGTATTTGTTTACTGTGAACTTCTCTTGAACTTCTCCCTTCACCAGGATAAACAATAGTATCATATGAATGTTATCTGAGTTCTTTGGCAACTAGGAAGTCATTTAAACAAGAATAAGGTCCTGTTTAATTTAACCATTTATATTTTTACTGGGACCTCAAGTGTCTTATTTAAGTCAACTTGGAACTTGAACTTGTTTGTAAGTGATCTCTCAGTCTTTTCGGAGAAATACTGCTAGAATTAGTGAAAAAACGTCAGATTATTTCCACTTGGCTTGTATATAAGACCAGAATGAATAGGACCCCATCAGAAGATCACTGGACTTGTAACAATACAGCAGCTCAGGCGATAAATAGAACTAGAATTCTCTTTCTCTTGTGGATCACATAAATAAAAAGGTAAGTTTTATGACACAAAAATGATATAATACTTATTAAGTTCAAGCTAAGCTCATCAATATCATTTATTTTCTCTCAATTATTTAATCTGTAGTTATACGTGTGAATATATAAGCGCAAATGCCATATATGCTCAATGAGATACAGACTGTGATTTAAGACATTTTTTAAATTGAAGCATGAAAGGCAACTTTAGTATCACAAAAGCAATTAAATGATGGAATGCCAAATGAACCACAATTTAAGAGTTATATTTTATTATTTTAGGTATAAACATGAAAGTTGCTCTTGCATTCCTGCTCTTAGCTGCTGTTGCCACTTTACAGACCAGTGATGCCTGGAGAATGCGTATTCGAACACCAAGGCTTGGTCTCCGTCGCATCATCGCACCCATCTGTAGCATGTATTGTAATACTAAATGTACAGCACCTGGGATCTGTGCTCCTGTCTGCCATAAGGTGTGCAATATTGGGCGTAAACGACGTTCTGTCGCCAATGACGATGAGAAGCCATTTCCCTCCGATTTCTCAAAATATGATTTGAACAATGATGAAGTGGTGACACTCTCAGAATTCGCTCAAGCAATCTCATCCACCAATAATGAATGCTTAGAAAGCTTCGGAAACGCTGATAAAAATAGTAAGTATATTTTGCTATTGCTATGACTTTAAAATTGCATGTATTGAGTTTCCTTCTGTACATTTGTGGGCCAGGATACCCTAGTGTTGGTAGAAACTTTTTTTACACATATTTAGCCCTTGTCATTATACATTTTTACACAGACGATCATTTTCAATGATCATGAAGAAATTTGGATGTTTATTACCCTTATACTGGGCACAGGAAGTTGTTTTTGAGAAAACATTGATCAAATATTATCAGTTATTGCAATTTCTATCATAAATAAATTCTCCATGGTCTCAAAACTTGTATTCATGACAACGCACAATAGATAGGCACATGATCAGACAAAGGCCTCTTGTGTCCCTTGAAACTTTCACAATCTTAATCATTTCACTGTATTTGTTAAAACAGTGAGACCTGTAAAGTGGAACATCTCTAGAAATGGAACACCTCTGTTAGTAGAACACTTTTCAGTCCCAAGATTAACTCACTTAATGTTAAATGAACCGCTATAAATGGAACACCCCCCCAAGTTGAACATTTTTAGAGGTACCAAATGTGTAACAATTCATTCCATTTAAGATATAAAGTCATTTGTACACTGTGTGACTATTTCATTAAGAAACTCATTAGTGAAATAAAGATGTCAGTGAAAATAAAATTACAATATATATTTATCCTGATTATTTATATGTATTTAATATTTATTCATTTGTTAAATAACATTCATTTTGCTCTGTACTTCCAGATGATGGTTTGCTGGATAAAGTTGAATTATTTGAAACAGGACCATTCCAGTTCTAATATGTATTTGAGATATAACAGGGTAGATGATGAACATTAATATGACAAAGCACACACTGAATCAAGATGAAAATGATCTCTATATAAAATTGATGGACCTTGCACCAGATGCTGGAACTGTTTAAATAAAAATTGCCACTAGAACTTTGATATTTACAGTACTTTACTTTACAAGTCTGTGTGAATAACTTTAGTATTACCTAGTAATAGACCAGATTTATGATCTCAATAAATTGAAGATATGTTATCAATTTTTATATATATGATACATGGTAGTATGAGACAATATATTCATCTGTATAAACAGAAGAATCATGTTTATTTATTGTGTACATGTTTGTTTTATAAAAGAAATATTAACACACAAAAACAACAGTATTTTATCTTTTTTGTTATTAATTTCATTAAAAAGTGTCAATATATATACATGCTTCTAGGAAAGCAGCCATCATTTATTAACCACAGTATATACAAGCACAAACTTGTTCAAAATATATGAAAACTTATTCTTATATAATATTTCAAGTTTATATAACTATAACTCAGTTTAGGTTATATATTTAGTCACCCCTATATTGAATATCCTATTGTTTCTCAGATTAGCTCTTAAGTGTATAACATCTGTTTATATGAGCAAGCTACAGAAGTAGAAGTACCTTGCATAAAGTGCAAATAACAAAGACTTAAGGGCAATATTTGAAAAACAATACAAACCTCTACAAATCATATGAACAATGTAATACTTAAAGGCCCACTATACTTAATTTAGAAGAAAAAATTAAAGAATAATCATTAAAACATGCTACTTACACACTTGCTCAAATATGACACAAAGTTTGATTTGCTTTAATATTGAACCAAGAAAAAAATAACTCACAAAGAAAAAAGCATTTGAAGTTCAGAGATCAGTAGACATGCATGCACATGTTAAACAAAGTTCATGTTTTAAATGACTCTTGATTTAAAAGATGGCAACACTTCTGTAAAAATGAATGTATCATGTTATACAAACAGCTCTACCATCTTTCAATGGCATTGATAAAAACTTGATATATAAAGCTTGACAGGTCGATAATATTTTTTGATCATTTATTTTTTGATCATTTATTGTAAGTTCACACCCCAAACACAACACCCCCCCCCAAAAAAAAATTGAGAAAAAAATTGTGCTTTTCAAAGTTTTTACTACAGTGCTGGTATATATTAATTGATCAGTCGTTTAATTGGCATATTTTCTTGAATTTTAACATTTAATGTCCCAAACTCCCACAAACTGCAGAAAAGTATACACCATAAATCATATTTACCAAAATTAGTGTCTCCAAGGCTTCACACCAGCGTATGCATTTGCATTATGCATTTGTCACGAGTTTGAGCTAAAATTTCCCCAAAATGAAGTAGGCTAAGGGTAGTCTCTGCCAGGTTTGTTTATTGTGGTAAGCTTGTAAGTGCTCAGAAGCAAATAATTCACGTGCGCAAAAAAATCAAATAATATGATTGGTTTAAACTTTGCTGCACATGCGCACAATGTGTGCCATATTTTTTCTAGTGATTTCGTTTCGTTTCATGGAGTTTCCGTTTCAGTGTAACTTCCGCAAAAATGGCTGACCATGGACAGAATTAACAGGTAAAATCACTTCGAAATTTCAAGAGAACTTTTTACCTATAATAGTGAAACTTTTGTTTCATTTGTGCATTCTGTCTATCAGATAAGAGTCTCAGGGGTATGTAGGCAAATTCATTTTGGTAGGAGCACTCTGTTTAGTTTGAAAACGCACCCTTAATTATTATATATCAGCACTGTAAGCACTAAATAGCATCTTAAAATTGTAAAATTTTCTAGGGAAGTAGTCTACCCCTCACATCCCCCACAAAAAAAAATTGACAAAAATTCTGAATTTATTTCATGTATTGTCTCAGTCACTTTTAAAGTGCCCAGACTTCATCGAATAGCACCTTGATATGGTCAATGTTTCTGGGAGACAGATATGGGGGACAAACGCTCCCCCTCTGGCACACCAACCCCACCTCAAAGTATACAGCAGGAGGTGCTTGCTCCGCCAAACCAAACCTCACACCAGTATTCAAGCATGTTCCAGTTTCCCCATGCCATTCCCAGTCCATTATAAGTCATGTAGAGAAGCATCATGGATGTTTGATGAATGATTTCTGCTATTGTTCAATTTTTTGGGCTTATGGAAAGAATTTTAAATATGACCACATTCAAAATGGTCACCACTTTTCACTCAAAGGGTAATCTTTGATCAATCAAATACCAGTTAACGTATTTGTTCAAAAATATGCTGATACCTGAGACACGAAAGCCCTATTACATTTTAAGATGGCTGCTGACTTCCAAATTGGTGCCAAAATGGCTTATATAAATGTAATCTTTCATTACTCAAACACCAGTTGATGCATTTATTATATATTTTATATGCTGATGCTTTATGGCCAGAGAATTCTGCTTAAGAAGAATTTTTTAAAATGAGTGCTGAATCCGAATTCATGAAAGCATATACTCAAATATAAATTGTTGGCAACATGTGTGTAGATCTTGACAAAATGAGACAATATTGCCCCTCTACTTCCTGATTATTTCTGTCATGTCATATCCAAATGAATCAGGATTTAACAAAAATATGTTTTGTTCAGTAGCACAGGCTGGTATCGAAAAATTTGTCCGCTGTGACGGAGCGTGCTATTTTGCATAGAAACAATAAGAAACCCACACAATTTATTTTTCTACTCATATGTTTCGCTATACCAAAGAAAGTTTCTTACTCCATGCAATGGGTATATCATTTGCGGGTAACTTTAACTTTTGTTTGAAGTCCAACAACGCTAAGAGTAAAAGCTATTGAAAACGGCGCCGGGGTATCATGCTCCAAAATGTACAATTTCTTTTATTTCTTTCTAATGGTACAATATAGCGACACGATAATATTTACATATGTTTTCAGCATAACTCTGAAGGTATTAATGGTATCTTGATGTGTTGGGTATTTTTAATATTTTTTATAAAAAATAATGTTTACATTTTTTGTCCGCTGTGACGGAGCAGTTTTAACTGTGAACTACGTTAAGAATTTAAGATTCAAATTATACCTTTTAAAAGTACCCTAAGAAGAGAGAACGTCACAAATCACTTTCCTAAATTATGACAAGTAGCCTCTGGGAGATCTGGGGTAATGTAAATCTGAGATATAAAAACTCTTAGCATTTTTCAGAGGTTTGTACTGAAATCAACATGAATCAACATGGTGTAAACTCAACATAATATTTCTAATACGTTTTCGCCAAGACGTCTTAGAATGTCACGTGTAGTGTAAATTGTTACGCGGAATATGGCATACATTCATTGTTGCGCAGTATTTGTGATACGGGTGAATATGCCATACTCACCTGTGGTATATGGCACATTCCACAGGTGAGTATGCGATATTCCGCAGTGAATATGTGATGCATTGAATTCAGTGAATACCTGATACTCACCTTCAGAATATGTCACACTCACTTGCGGAATATGCCATATACAGCAGTTGAATATGACATATTCCGCAGGTGAAAAATGT